TTATTTTGTTTTGTTCATCCTAAACATTTGAGGTTTTGCTTGTTTTGCTGATTTAAATTTCTCTTTTATCGTTTATTACTTCACAGGAAGGACAGCGATAAGTTGATTAAGATAACACTGATGAGAGAAGCGGCCAAAAGATTAACCCTGGGTCCGGACACTCTTCCCTCCATCTGCTTCTACAGTGTACTCAACGCTCACGCCAGGTAAGATTGTGTTACAGCATGTAACGTCACGCAACAGAATAACGTGAACTTCCGGTGATGGAAATTTTTTTAGCTGGAGTAAACAAACGACGTTTCGCAGCATCACTTCTGGTTCATTCTTACTTCATTATTGTACAAGGACGTCTACTTATTCAGGCTAGCGTTTTGCCGAGTTTTTTTTACGACGTTAACCACGTACGTCTTTCTTTAAAAAGAGAGTTTGCGAAACTTTCCAAAGTAGATGTAGAATCCAGGTCAAAATTTCAGTGTATGGAAACATTAAGTGATTTATCTATGTTGGAGTACGGAATAAAACCTACTGTTCTGAAATTTGTTTTCTCTCATCCAGACCTTCGTTGATGATGTTTTGCTTGTTATNGTTTTACTAATTGTTTGTCATGTGTTATTCTGCTTTTTAAGTAATCTGATAATAACTGATCCGCCTAGTAGTCCAATGCTACCATCAGTTTTAAATTTGTATTAATTTTTAAATTCAATTGAAATAAAGTGTGTAAGCGTGTTAATGAAAGGCCCTTTTAGAACACTTTAGGACAGTTTTTGCAATCCATTCTTGCAATGAACTGTAAGTCGTGAAATCCCTACCGTTTTACAGTAGTCTCGAAAAACGTTCCATTTTCGGACGGAGTAGGCCCGAGTGTGCAAAACGATAAAACTCGCAGGACAGTGATAATAATTTAGTGAACTTTCATTAAGTCGAGAAACACGTGATTCAGTTGTCACGATTAATGGGCAAAGAAAGAGTCCAAGATGGGAGTCGAACCCAGGACTTGACACTCACGGGAAGGGTGTCTCACCATTGAGGCATAGGGGTACTGGTGGCGAACTAACGCACAAACTGACAGGAGTGGTGAGATGTTTTTAGGCTTCTAAGGTTACCATTGACTAAGACGTTTGAAGGTGATCTTTGGTGAAAAACATCAGGCTCTTGACTAAATTAAGGGTAATTAAAAAAGGAAGGGTTCTCCATTTTTCTTTTACAAATTTCTTGTACGTCTCTTGCAGTTTAAACTCGGTCAGTATATCAAACGACTCGAGCCTACTGTCAGGTGGATTTGAGGACAGCAGTGTCCGTGTTTGGAGCCTCACTCCCAAGAAATTACGCATGCTCAAATCGCCCTCAGAACTCGCTCAAATCGACAAGGAAGCAGGTTAGTAATTGTAATCTCACAGCCGGGCTTTTTTCAAATAGTTTTGAATTTTTTAAGAACTGTAACTGCCCTGGAGGTGTTTAGGTAGTTCTGCGAAGATTACCGAACATGGTACATGTTCCACAACTGACTACATAAGAATTTTCGGAGTGCTTCGGTATTTCTACGAAGATTTACCGAACAGGCTTTTGTTCTCCGACTTACTTAACGAAAAATTTTCGTGCTACGTTTGATTGGACGATAACAATCGGAATCTCTTCGGCTTTACGTTTCTCGTTTTCCGAGCGCATTTAGCGACTTTATTTCGAAGGAACTGAGAAGCTTGCCTATCTGAGGCCAAGGGACATGGATGCAATGTAGTCTTGTGTTCTTTCTTTCCAACAGAGGACGTACTTGAGAGAATAATGGATCACAGGTTAGTATTTAAACGTCATTATTTTTATCGTGGCATCTGTGCACTCCTGACCCTATCTGCAACAGTTCATGTTCAGCTGACCTTCTCCAGATGTTTTTAGGCCCTCCTCGCTTTATTTCCCCTGGCGGGTTCAAGAATAGGCCTAACAGTTTTTCAAAAGCCCATATCGCAATCCGTTTTAATCTTCTTCAATTTCTGTCCATCCGTACCTTCTTTTGTATTTGCTTGACATTGAAATGTTTCTTCACTGTTTTAAGGTGATTCCTTAGTGTTGCATTGCGCATCCCTACTGCGCACGATTTTCGCGTCANTTTTGCTTTTGTATTCTTCATTTTATATGTAAAGCCGATTAGATCACTATTGATCCAACGTATACCAGCAGGATCATCGTTCCGGTTGCTTGCTTAAAACATTTTATAGTCATGAAGATTAGAGACTGGGGAGGACTAATCAGCACCATTTTCAACTGGCCCTGGTGGAGAGCTATGTGGCATGTGGCGAATAAAGATTTCTAAAACTAAATATTATATAAAAACAGGATATTGCTTTGCATCCTGTTTTCTTTCAGTGGGGCGTGGTACAGAGGCCGGGGTCACAGCGATCTGGTCGTATTATTAACGGGGTTGTAGCCTAAAGGGGCAATTAAGCAAGGAAGTAACTGAGCTTTTCTTCAGCAGAAATCGAAGTGGCCCACAGTATTTAACGGGTTGGTCGTATTGACAAGGCAGTCGTAAGGCGGAGTTATCCCCCGTTCAACATTCCCGCCTATTTTAAACGGCAGGATTGTCTTGGTCGGATAAATGGGGTTCAGTTACGATTTAACAGGAACACGCCTACACATAGGGTTTGTCTTGGTCCTGTGTCAAATAAATAAATAACTATGAATTACTATATTTAGAGAGGAAGCCACATCAGCCTTAACAGCTGGTTTTCATCCTCGATCGATATATCTAGGCTCGATTTCCGCCGCTTTCTCGAGTCCGGTCTACGTAGGAGTTCGGAGGAGGAGCGCGGGCTCCTTTCCCGAACAGCGGCTGGTAATCGAGCCTAGATATATGTGGATAACTGATTGTTAAACTGCTGAGATAAGCGAAAGTCACAGAGTCGAATTGAAGAAAAAAAAAAGAAATTAAAAAATTGCGGCCCTCACTAGATTTTTCTTGATTATTGGCAGGATTTTCCCTGCTTGCGGGCGAGTTTAATGTCCGTACGCGCGCACAGACGACACTCGTGATCACGGTACTCCCTCTGGGCCGGGTTACCGTAACACTTGTATCCCAAACGAGCATGAAGACATAATAAATAACAAGCGGAAAAGAACAAAGATAAAAGTACGTAGTTTTAATTGATTAGCCATTGAAGATGCCATTATGAGTTTTCGACGTTAAACAGAAGCGCCGGTCAAGGATTATCAACTATCTCTTCATAACCTCTCAGATTCCTTTTAGTGAGCAACAAGTACTAAACTCCTTCACTTAATGGCTGCTGCATTTGCTCCGCGATTTTTCCTTGTGCTTTCCCTCTTCTACGTTTTGATCGACGTTGCTATTTCCCGCTCTAGAATTGACGCTTTCGAGACAGATAGAAAACCACACAACTCGTCACAAAACGTTTCAACGTCTCCAACTATGAAATCGTCACCAGACTACATGCTACGACTACTTCACAGAGTAACGGCGAACCCAGATGCGGATCAGGTCCAAACTGGGGCAGTGCGGGGAAATCTTGTTTACGGCATCACTGAGAACGGTTAGTTGATTTGATTTAGGACTGAAGAGGATGGGTTGCTTTTCTTTGAAATTACGTTTCCCGTGTTTGAGTACATCCATTTTCATCGAACGCGAACAAGGTAGAAACTTACGCGAACCGAGGGCAAAGTAGATATATAAATCTAGCCAGAAGCTCAGTTAATCATCAAGCATTTTAAAATCAAGTCAGTTGCAGGATGTGAAATCTTGTTCTCGGAAGAAAAAACCTAACTGAGATAAAAAAAAAAAAATTCAAAGCTGCCATCTTTATTGGATAGACAAAGCTTACTCGTCCAAAGTTACAAACATTTAGCGAATCAGAAACATTTGAAACAGGAAAAAACTATGCTTCCGTTGCCATCTATAGTAATAAAATCATCTTATTTAGAGACGAGCAGAGTTATTTGCTGCTATGACTAATCCAACGTCATTATTGGGAATGTGCGCTTTAATCAACTTGATCAATTTTGTGAATATTTCTCGTCCCTAAATAACAAAGGTAAGATTACTTACGCCTTCCCCGCTCGGAAAAATTCACCGAGGAAGTACTGAGCCTTCACTTTTCAGCGCCTGGATTTCTGGGATCGTTTGGAAACGAGGACAACGAGCTTGGTTTAGAACTTGATTTATTTAGTGCCTTTATTGTCTTTGATGCTCGATCAAACGCACACAAATGTGCTATAATTCAGAGGGGAAATAAAAAGGTTCCAGTAGATTATTGTTTTTTTTTTTAAGTCCGGAAACCAAAAAAGTAAACATGAGAAAGGGAAAACAAATAAGAAGCTTTTGTTTTGAAATATTGGCCGCAAAATATTCATTACTTTCAAACATTCCCTGCCGAAATCTTTTAATCTAGTTGTTTTGTCTCCTATCACTTGCCGAAAAACGCCAATGAGGCATCTAAAACTATTTTGTCTTGTGAAAAGTAATTCAACAGGGAAAAAAAGATCACTGACTTCGCCAGAATCTTTACGGAATGAGGGCTCATTGATTCTATATTTACCTAATCAACAGAGTCTCTTTACTTCAAATTTCAGGCTTCGGAAAAATAATTAAACATGTATACAAAATAAGATATAAGGTTATGACATATTTTTACTAACTACGATGAAAATGTCGATAATTATTTACACTCAAGCTGCCAATCTGATAGAAATTTGTTTTAAACTATTTCTGCAGTGACGGTGTTAAGTTTACATGTACTATGATATTATCGTTGAGCGGTTTCCGTCAGGTCAGCCAGGTATCTTTTATAACTTATTCTCGTGGAGCTTGTTTTGGTTAAGTGACTGACTGCTTACTTTTGGAAGCCATATTTTACTCAGTCTCGACATTACCAATGGTATGTTTCACGTGCCGCGGGGGGGAAGGGGACTCCCAAATAAAAAGGACGGGGGTGCTCGTGGTACCTTTTAGGGGTTAAAAAGCAGTTTTGGTACCTCTTAGGGTATTAAGCCTCAAAATGTCCACAGCTGAAGCTTTCGCGGTATCTTTTAGGCGAAAAAATATGACAGGAGATAATGTGTTATGTAAGAATTAGTACCTTACAGATCCCCTTAGGGGAGAAAAAATTTCAAGCCACACCCAAAAAACTGGATCTTGGTACCTCCTAAGGGTCCTTTTCAAAATTTCCGACGAGCACCCCCGTCCTATTTATACGAGAGTACCCCCCCCGGGGGGGTTCACGATGCTGGCACAAGCGACTCAGTAAAACCTGGCACGAACTCCCATCATTTGATGTGACAAGCAGTGCGTTTAAAATTCTTCCAAAGAGTGGCAAGCCTATGCGCTGTCCTTGGATACACATTATTTAACACTAGTATTTATTTCAGAAGAGGAGAGGAAGTAGAGGTAAGCGATTTTTCTGAGCGAGAACTTTTTTCCAGCGTCAAGTTAATTTTCACTTTTTTAGGGAGGGTGGGGTAGGGTTGGGTTGGAGGTTGTGGCTAGCTTTGCGCTTTGTTTTCCTCTGTTGTAGATGTGCAGTCAAACAAATCGGTTTTCAGATGATTTGTAACCGATAAATTTCACAGTATTGGAGTCTTACGATTTTGAAAGCAAACTCTAATGACTGCATTTCTTATGAAACTGAATTGTCTTTAGTCAGGGCTCACATTTTTGTTCATGTAATTCTCACAGGTGGTCTTAGTGACCGGAACTTTAAATTCAACGTTACGATCAAGAAAACGAAAGTCCTGAGGTTCGCTGAACTTGAGCTCTACAAACTGCCTTCCACGCTTGACGAAAATGCAAACTCGACGGTGAACATTCAAATCGAAGACATTTACAGCGGCAAACGGGTGTCATCTCAGCCTGTATCCATGGAAACCACCGGCTGGATAAGTTTCACGATTCCACTGGATATCATTCGCCATTGGGACCGCAATCCAGCAAGCAACGCGGGCCTTGCTGTTCACATCAACGAGTCAAACATGGCGCCCGCGATCCGATTTGCAACGAGGCAAACAGACCCGAGTTTGCAACTTCTGCTGCTCCTCCACTGCAGTGACACGGAAAATAGATTTCTTGAAGTGTTAAATGTCTCATTCCAGGCAACTTTGCAACAGCGCCACCCCAGATCTGTCCTTGCCAGCCACACAGGCCCTTGCCGACGGCTTGACCAGATCATCCACTTTAAAGACCTTGGATGGGATGACTGGGTCATAGCTCCCAGGATGTTCTCAGCCTACCACTGCGCAGGCGCGTGCCAAATTCCTGACGTTAACAAAATGAAGACAAACCACGCCCGGCTGCAGTTGTTCCTCAGTCAGCAGGACTCGGATCTGGCGGCTGCACCTTGCTGTGTCCCGGATAAGCTAGGCTCCATTTCCATGTTGTACCATGGTGGTCCAGGGGAAAGCACCTATGTTCTCAAGCAGATGAACGACTTCGTAGTGAAGTCCTGTGGCTGCCATTAGAAATGGAAAGGCAACAGGACAACCAAGCAGATCCTTGGTGGATGATTGGCCACCTATTGCATCAACTAGGTGTTTATAGTTTAAACTTATAATTTAGGTTGAACAGTTCAAAGTAATTCAAAATTCATCAATCAGGTTAATATGCTCAGCGTAATAGTTGGGGTTCAATTTTACTCTTTGGAAAATTTGACAATTTCCTTTATTATGCTGCACGGGACGGGTCGGTTAATGTGAATGAAACAAAGAAAAACCCAAATTGTATACCAGGGGTAATATTGAACTACAACATAGTTGTAAGGTGTAATGAATGTATTAAATAACATGCCCAAAGAACAGCTGTCGCAATATCTATGGAAGTTTATTCTCTAATCTTCTAATACCACGCAGCCGAAGATTTAACATTTTTCTGGAATGGCATACTTCAGACAAATTCAACAACTTGGTAACCTTTCTCGATGACTTTAGATGTTTTTCCCAGAAATTCAATTCGTTTAATTTCCCTTCCTCTAGGCTTAAGCACTAAAAGGGTCTTCCCAAACATGCTAGAAGGAGGGATTTGGCCCTAGATCGAAAAGACATCGAGCAATCCAATGGTAGAAATGAGAATTTATGATTAATAGGAGCGGTGACCCGCTTAAAAATACAATCTGTAAGTTCTTCAATAAAGAGTTATCTGAAAAAATTAAAGCAATTCAAACAGCCGTCTATTTCGTTAAAAAACCAATCAATGCCAATGATTACCTTTCTATTGGCAAAATTGGTTTACATGAGAGATTCTTCTCTTTCGGTTATAACATTACATAACTAATCTTAACGGTACCTTGAAAAGAAATCTCCTTGATAAATAGTTAGATTCAAGTCGAGCGAAAATATCAAATTAAATAGGCCATATTCGTTTTCTCGGTATTGGACTGGAACTAGCTTGCAAGTGAGGCTATTGCGGGGGAGTCTTTTCAGATGCAAATGAGATTATTCTATGTTTAATTATATTCCCCCGCATGAGCCCCTATTGCAAGCTAGTTCCAGTCCAATACCGAGAATACCAATATGGCCTATTGACAGTATCAAGGTTGCACTGAGAAAACTTGAAAAGGGAAGAGTTCTTACAATCAGGGGGAGGGAGTGGTCCTTTCAGGTTTTTCTGATTCCTGGGAAGGATTTTGTTCTCTTAAATTCATCCCTCGCGAAAGTTTAGATGTGTCAATAGGCCACTTCTGAGTTGCCTTTTGCCTGTGTCAAAACGAGTCTTCACGCGAAACCATTCATATGAAAATGTGTTCCACCTGCAGGGTCATTTTCATGCAAATCAAACTCATTTTCATATGAAACGTTTGGCTCGAGGACTCTTCTTGTAGTTGAAACAGAGGCACAAGGTAACTCGGAAATGCTCTATTGTTTCTCCACATCATTTCCATTGCCATAGTAACCGCATTTTGACAAGCGAGCCGAGCCAATTTTTTTTTTTTTGACAGGACGTTCGCCTGCTTTTTTTAGTTTCCTTGAGCTTTTCACGGTCATTATACTATTTTGAATGAATGGGGAAGTTCAAGATGGCGGACTATAAAAATGACGCGAAGTCATAAGAGGCTGAGAGTTATCTATTAAATTCAGAATAATCTCGATGTCTTATTGCAAACCAAGCCTAGGGAAGAATTTGAAGTGTTTAGTGCGGTACACTTCAACCTAGCTCCAGGCCCCCAAAGCGGATCGCTCGAGTCTGACGACCTGATTTGCGGCATCAACAAAATCAAACTGCTATTAAAAAGCTCATCTTTTTATTGCACAATGATAAGCACGAGCGTTCACAGTAGTTCGCTGAATTTCACGATTTATGAGCGCTGTACAATTTCATTAAAAACACTGACCTGAATTATATACACACTTGCGCTAGTTAGTCAAGCACTATATACTATTTCACATTCACAAGCTACTGGCTCACTGGCATAAGATTCACTCCAGTTGGCTTTCATTAAATATTTTCCACCTTGACCGAGTAACTAAAAGCTCACAGGATCATTCTGTCACCTTCTCTACCCGGAACAGGAGAAGGGGGTACTCCCTTATGTAGGTTATATAGGTATGTGCGACCCCAAAGGGTATAGTTTTTTAGCCCTTTTGTTCAGAAATAGGTGATCGATTTTGGCCATTTTGGTCTCAAATTAGGTATGGTTTTTGCACTTTAGTCTTGAATCGGGTATGCTTTATAGTAGCTACTTTTTCAACATTATCGACAAGACCATCACCAAAAGCCATTCACAATGCCTTCAAACATCGGCCTATTTTTAGGGAACTAAATGTAAGGCAGGTCTGAAACAGTGTATTGATTTAAGGGCCAGGTCTTAAATAGGGTACAGAAAATCGCAGATTTTGTTAATAAAAGGGTAAAGGTTTGGGAAGCGGACCGCACATCCCCACCCAATTAATTGTTCTAGAAGTACCCCCCCCCCCCGGGTTCTCTAGAGCTCAATATTTTGCTCCTGTGAGCCCTTACTGCACGAATAGCAACTATACTGGCATAAAATGTCCGGCGGCCTCACTCATTCTTACGGACGAGAATTCAACGAAACTTGGCACTTGTTCCACGACGGCAATATCTTTACTCAACAACAATCCAATTTGCCCAAGGGTTAAACTAAGCAAGCGAAACACTACATTACATGTTTACAAATGTATTAGAGGACTTCAATTTTCGTAATTTTGTGAGCTTTTAAAATCTGTAAAAGTTTACGTAAGAATCGTGTTGGTACGATGAATGAATAAAATTTCACTTTTATTGTCCTTTCTCAAGGTTTTGATTCTAAACGCCATTACTCAATAAAATTTTCGTTGCTGTAAATGTTTTCGCACAATTCTTGCGGAGAATAAATTCCGCTTGAGGTAAATTACAATCCTCTTGAAAGCAACAAGTGAATAATAAAAAAGCGATTGAAAATATATATTTCACAAGTATGCGAAATCAATGCATTAACATCGTTGAATTGATGAATTGCTTAGCTAAATTGATTACATCATTTTCCTACTAATGAATACTTGGCACAGCGGTTAACCTTTGTGCAGCGTGCGTGTTGTACACCGCGACGATGACGTCATTGTCTCCGCCGAACGGAGCAAAACCAAATACAATGCAGTTTGGTGCACGAATCTTTTCCCACGATTACCAGCAGTCACACCTTTCCCGCGCTTAGGAACGCGCCTCCATGCAACAGTTACAAGACTTTGCGCGGTTCGTGCTCTGATTGGTTTGCTGCACTATCAGCGGTTACAGTGACTTGCGCTGCGCGTACTTTCTGCTAATTTTAGACAGTCGACGAAGAACAGCTCTTACGTTGAAAAAGAAAATGCTACACCATTAATCCGACTGTTTTCTAAAGAAAGACTATTTTGTTGAAAATTACTAAGGTCATGCTACATAGCCCCAAGTGACAGGATCTTCTACAAGAAAATCGATGTAACATTGTATTTTTTTTTCTTACTTAACACAATTCCAATAAGGACAGGCACTTAGAAATAGGACACGTATGAAAGTTTAGTCGCGTGTAAATGTCACGCTGATGTTAAGCCCACAAACAAGCGATGTTATTACGCATGTGATTTACTTACGATAAAAAATAGTTCTCATAATGTCATTTCCACTCCTTTTCACTCGTCTTATTCCTTTTCTTCTTCAATATTCCTTTTTCGCCGAGTTGGAAAGGTAACACTTTCCGAACATATTATCCCGCACCATCCATACACCAGCGACTTGGACCGTCTCAAAATCTAGAGCGGATCTTCCGTGGAATCAAAAATAATTTAGAAAATCTCGACTCTTCAAAGCCCTCACACAAACTCCCGGGACGCTCAAACCCCACATCTATTCTCAGTAGGGCATCACGCACAAATGGGTAAAGATGAGTGTTCCTGGTTTCTCACGTAAAGGAGGAGACGAGGTATTGCGGAAGCCTGGGTTGGAGGGTAGGCGTGTCGAACGTGCGCCTGCAATATACAGCTCGTGCCGGCGGAGTTCTGTCCTCTGGACATAACAGGTCGGAGTAGTTTTTGGAGTCGAACAGGCGCTTGTAGGCGCGTCGGTATTCCTTGTCGAAGGCATCTGTAAAGCAAGTAGTGCAATACAAATGAACTCTGTTGATTGCCATATACCTCTTTCTTTGATACAGTAAACCCAGGAGTATCAGAAGTTTCCGTCAAAAACTATTTTCAACGGGCGACTCTGGAAAGCTGGTACACCAACTTGGAAAAACGCCTCTCAACGGATGCAAACATCTACCGGCAACTTACAAACGATTTTCACGACAAAAGAGACGGGCGAACCCCAACATAACGACTTAATTCAACTAACAATATATGGATCGAAAATGACTGTTAGCAAACTTTACACGAGTCTTACAGCCAAAATCAAACAGGCTAAACTGATCAATAATTTTCAACGGACCAGAAAACCATCGACTGACAAACACTTTTCACTTGACTCTGAAGATGACTACCACTTAGATTTTCAAAAAGTCAGTCACCAATACCAGCTCTTTTCACAAGTAACCTAGCCCAGAACTATACGAACTATTTCTTTAATGTTTCTTCCGATAACAAACATTAAGAGGACGGTAGAAATACCGACACGGGAACGTCCATGGAGCACTGAACGAAAGAACTTAACGAAAGGGGGCTGTTGTGCGATACCAAAGGAAGGGCAAGGTGTTCTCCTGCTACAACCATTCAGGTGCCACAGAAACTTTTAGAGTTACAAGGAATGACAAGGTACAACGAGGTTTAAGCAACCGTGTGTATTGGTGACACATGTACATCACATCAATTACTCGATTATTTCCGTTATTCTCAACACCTCTCAGGTGTTCAGCGTATTACAATTGAGAGCGGAAGGTGAATGTTGATCACTTACCAACGTCAATGTTTTCAGCTCCACAAGCGGTCAAGGACAAGAACAATAATTCTCGATAAACACTCCTTTAAAAACAAATAAACACTTGTTTACAACAACGATGCAAGACACGCTCGCATTAACAAATAAGGTAAAAGACACTTAACATTACTTTATTGCTGTAATTAATCTCCCAATTAACTAATTCTTGTATTATTCTCTAACTTGCTCCACTCAGCCAGAATTAACCAAGTAATCCTCCTCTAACAGTATCCCCACCTTCATAACGTTTTCTAAAACTTTTCAAACTTTTCCCCCAAAGAATACTCTACCACAAAATTTGAAAGAAAGAAGGAGGGGAGGGGAGGGGAGGGGAAGGAGGAGATTAGATTATAGGTTAGAACTTCCTTACACAGCTAATAAACTCTATCAAATAAAAGTACTGATCAATAGCGTTCATTTGAATGGTCAGTCTTCGTAGCGAGGGTTCTCGGACAAATGAATACTTTCCTGCATTTCATTCATTACTGTTTCATTGGTACGGCTCGGGAGCCCTTGTGACGCAGGCTAGAATCGTCACACACTAAGATTTACCCCCCCAAAATTAAAACAACATTATAAGTGATCGAGGTTTGACTCTCGAAGGGAAGGAATTAAGTGCTGCTTAGACATATTAGGTGAGTGCACATACCATTTTGCGTTTGGGTTGATGTTCTTCTGTCGATTTCTTTCCTCCAGTAGGATTACAGTTGGGCTGTACACGTCGTTTTCTTGTATATGAGCCACCACAGACTGCATTACGCTACAAGATAGTGAAAACAGACAGATCCTTATGTCAGCCATTATGGTTATATAATAAGTCAAATTATTCTCGCAGTTTGATTGGTTCTTATCTATGATCTATTAGAGGACAGACATATAGATGACATCATTAACATTTTTTTTTTTGTTTCTTTATTGTATGAAACAGTTGGGTCCCATGATGCCGTCCGTCTGTTCAGTAATAGACCACAGAAGGCGTCAAACTGTGGTTAAAAAAATCCGACACACTCGGCTAACCCCACGTGTGCCACTGTTTTTTTGCTTACAATATATGGACATCATCTGTGATCTATTACTAACCAGACGTAAGGCAACAATGAATATGGAATCTACTTTTTAACCTGAACACAGACAACAAAAACAACAACCAATACCACGTAATTTTCTTTCCAATAACTTTTACAAGAGAACCCAATGTGTTTGGACCTTTTTCAAACTTCAGACCAACATATTTTGGAAGGAGAAGCCATAATTATCACAACAAAAATCAGTATCATATGTAACAACAATTATTGCAAAGATAGAGAAGGAATCCTCGGTTTTACTCTTACTTTCTAGTTGTTAATCCTTTGTCCATCAGAGAACCTTGCTGGTCCGCTACAAGGTAAAACAGAGTGGTGAAAAAAAACAACGTTAACCAGTTAGCAAGCGACAGCAAACTAGTAGCACGCTTCGTTTGGTCAAGCTGCCCTTTTTCACTCCATAATGAGATCGACATCTGAATACACCGTACAGTTTCAAGACATTGACAGGTATACACATGAGGAGAATATAGAAAATCAATTGGGGTATAATGTCTTTGATATGGAGCGGTTTTCAATTGAGTGTCGCAAAACTAAGCCCAAAGTAATCACTCTAGCCAATCGCAAAAGACACTGAGAATCTAGAACCAATCAAAACTCGAACAAAATGCGTGTAGCTGACGCAAAGCGCGAGAGTTTTAGTCTTACTTTTGATTCGATAAAAAAGTAGCGCGAGTCTTCTTAGGCCAATAGCGTAGCGTTGTAATGCAAAACCAACTACTTTTTCAAAACTCAAGTGAAAATCGTTCTCACTATATAATAAATGTCTGACAGTCCGTAAGAAGTACTCGCACTCACCTGGTGCATTCCACAGGACGTACAGTGGAACCACGTCATATTCCTCCCTTTCACCGTCCCATGACGTGGACACCAGGACCTGGGTACCAAGCCCCGAGTTGCTGCGCCGTTCCTGTCACGTGATCAATCACCCGTCAGCAGGTCTTATGTATGAATATGTACACATTTTCAGGGTACAAACAAAACCAATTAACGGACTTTATTCGTCGGGGAAGCTGGACCTATGATGCACTAGCCGAGAGTCATTTTCACAAGCCCTAGGAAATTTCATCTCTTATTGTGCTTCTGTAATTTGAAGTTCCTCAAAACACTTTTTCCGAAGAAACTTCACATGCATGCCCGTCGGGAGAGCCTGTGTGCATCCGCCCCACCTCTCCTTGATTTTTTTTGAAAGGCGGGGAGAGGGCGGGCGGGGGAGACGGATGCACACAAGGCAACGTCGGGAAAGTGGTAGATAGAATAGCCCGACTGGAAAATCCCCTAGCCCCGGGTTATCGGACACCACTTTCTTTGCACGCTTATTTTACTTAGTCACGTGGAATTGACCCGGGGCAATTTATTACAGACCCATTCCAATACTTGCGCTCACTGGATACTATTAGAGGGAGAGTTTTAAGTTTCATACCTCAAATCTGTCGGCTCTTTCGTTGCTGGGGTATGTTGACAATACGTGATCTGCTAAATGGGACGGTAGCTCAAGCCGCTTAAAATACCACACCTGCAAAATGATTATACAGCGAGCAGTTTTTACAAGGTTTTGCTTGATTATGTGGCTGTTTAGCTCTTCAGTTAGTTTTGTGAGTGATCAAGTTGCATCGGAAAACAAGACTGTGTTAAAGTGAATATTTCTCGTCTCGTGATTACAGACTGAATTGGACGACACGATGTCCTGTTACCAATTAATCAAAACTATGACAAAATTCGAGAAACGAACAAACCAACGATTGAGCGCTGAACTATTAAACGTCGTTGTGAATGCTGAAAAACACCGCAGTTTACCCAACAGAGTGTACCGCAACATCGCGCGCAAAATGACGCGTACTGTCCAATTACAATGGTATACAATGGTATACTCGTGAAATTGGGAAATAATTTCTCTTACCTTCCGTCAAAATTCTAATAATATCACTCGCCTAAAGGCTTGGGAAATTATAAGAATTTTGACAAGACGCGCGTGAAATTATTTCCTAATTTGACTCGTCACCATTTGATTAACCGTACATATAACAAGTACAATTGTACTCAATAGTAGTAATGTCGTCATGACATATTTCATGTTCCTTTACTCACCAGGTTCCAGAATATGATACTCTTCTCTTGCACGACTTCTGGAAACTGAAGTGTGGTAATGCCGTCATTCTCAAACATGTTCTCAAGTTCCTTTCTCAAAACCAGCGGATTGAGATATGGAACTGTAATTATTTCTCTTTCTTCCGGGGCTCTGGACACTAAAAATACAGGAATAAAAAAGGGAATGTTGAGTTCACAATCACGTATCATCAATATAGTAAATGCGGTGATTATAACGTAGACCCTTCTCTTACAAGCCTCCTTTAATTCAATTTCTTCAAAATACAATTTGAATTATTTTGCTCTTCAATTTTCAAGACGGCAACACATTTTCTAAACAGAAAAAGAGTTATTTTGTAGCAGCTGTTTGGAACTACCTACAAGCACAGAAATAACAAATTGCTGATGTTCTGTTTTAAAAAGAAATACACAATAAAAATGCTTTTTAATTATTTCCTTTTGCGCTAACTGCTTTAAGAATTAAAACGATATCCACTCCTCCACTAACCCTCCCCAAATCAGGGCTTCAAAAATTTAAGTCGTATCGCACTTGCAAAGTAAAGATTTTTCTGTACATCTTGTGGTTAATTAATTGCAATAAGAAACTACAGCTCTAACGCTTCATCCATTATTTTTGTTTCACTGCTTTCAGTTGTTCATAACGTTATGTTCCACTTACCATACCAACTACTCCCGTAGCTGCCGCAAGTGCTGTTACTACTACGCGCGCGTTGAATCCACGAGCCAGGCCTTGGACTGCCGTGTAGACTTCCCGAGGGACTGCCACTTGCACTCGACGGCGCACTGATGCTATGGCGCATGCGATGATGGCTAGCCCGGATGGGGACTGGGTTGGACGCTGGTGGCGACATCGCGGCGCTGAGTGGACGTGTGGGACTGGTGATTTTCTGCATCAAAAGACTGGATTCAATCGTGCTCGGTACAGAGTTACTGAGCGGTCCGGAACTCGGTTCCACTTCGGAATTTCCCGGCAAAAGCTCGGAGCTTCCGAAGCTGTTGATACTGGACGATAGCTCAGAGCTTGGGTGAGACGAAAAACAGTTTCGATAATCCTAAACAAGAGACGAAAATCCGGTACACGGTTAGCGTAACATTCAAAATTGAATTGCGAGGTTACTGAGTTGATTCGTTACAGCGGTTTTCAACTGAGTGTTGTCAAACAAAAACCAAAGAAATCACTCTAGCCAATCACAAAGGAGACAGACAAACCAGTGAACCAATCAAAACTCGAAGTAATTACGTGTCTGACGCGAAGCGCGGGAAAACGCGTGCGAGCGAGTCGAGATTGGTTTTGGTTTCACTTCTGATTGGACGAGAAGGTGGCGCAAGTTTTTAAGCCAATCGTACGTACGTACGTACGTACATACATACATACATACATACATAATTTATTTGATAAAGCAGGTTGGAGATCAAAATTGGCAAGACGCTAAGTCCTGATGTGGACCTGCACTATCTAAAATTATAAATTAATAAAATCCTACGTAATACATAATCCTACATAATCCTATCCTACACTTCGTGTGGCGAGGTGATCCAAAACCAATTTCTTGTCGACACTCAAACCAAAAACCGCTCTTACTTCTGTTACTGTTGAAATTCATGAGCAATCCTCGATAACTTGACAGTTCTTACACTACAGCATACAGAGGTAGCGATAAGGCACACGTAGTAACTTCACAATTAGGGTGCGTTCCTTTACGATGATCTGGATCAGGATCAGTGGTTCAAGAACACTCAGATCATGATACATCGAAGGAACTCGGAGCCAATGAATCACCTCTGGCGAAGGATTTATCAGTTCTTTTAATCCACCATGATCCGAGTGATCCTGGATCACTGCCCCTGACCAGGATCATCTCAAAGGAACGTACCCTTAAATTCTGGTATTACTGACAATCTTAGTGAAATTACTTGGCCACATACTGCGAGTTAAATAACTGAGTTGGTTGAGCTTAGCAGATAGAATTACCTAGAAGTACCTCGAAAAGGTAAGAATAGTATGATTCAGTTTCGTAATAGAGACAATTTTCACCTCAACGCATTCGAATGGACAGAGAAAAATCTAAACAGTTATTACCACGGGATTTCTTTCTTTTTTTTTCAATCAAAAAGTGTCAGAAATATCATTCATCGTCTGTAGAGGCGGCCTAGATTCCACTTCTATAAAATTCAACCTTGAACACTGTAACGCACTCAACTTCAGTGCCACATACCTTGATTTTAATTGTGAGGTTTGCTACTTGCTGTGTTTGGCAGTAAGGGCATCTGCAAGATAACAGAAGAAACGAGATTCGTACGAGATTCACACAACCTGCACCTGAATTTGCAATACAGCCTGAACTCCCTATGCCTTGTTACAGTTTCATTGCAGCAACGTTGCACAAAGTAGAACTGCAAAAACCCACGTATTGCAAAAACCCATTTCGCAATCCGTTTTAATCTTCTTCAATTTTTGTCCATCCGTACAATCTTTTGTCATTGTTGTGTTACTGTTCCTTCACAGTTTTAAGTGGTTATTTTTCTCTTTCAGTCGTCTACATTTGGATAAAATCCATAACATAAATAGTTTCGTTAACTCCTACCCTGTGTTCAAATTCGAGTCGTCCGCAGTCCACCCAGCCAAGATCTCCTCGTCATACAAGTATCTCCCACATTTGACACACTGATGACAGGTGCACAGGACGGCTTCCAGTGCGGTGTCGGGCTGTAGACCAGAAGGAAGGCCGAATATAATATCATCTAACATCTTGGTGGTGTACTCGTACGGATCAGAATCTTCACTGTTCGCGTTGATATACAGCTGGGAATGCCGCGAGCCGTCACTGAACGCGGAAAGAACCGACGTTTCGCTGATAGTTCTCCCGTACGTCAATCGTTTCCTTTGCGAGAAAGCCCCGTCAATAGACGTAGTAGAAAGGTCTAGTATATCTGCTGCTTCAGAAGCGGTAGACATTTCGCTTATTGTTCTTTCGCGACGTGATTTGAGTTCCGGTGTCCGTCTGCCTTCGTTGTCGTCTCCCAAGTCAAGCAGGCGCTCACGTGACAGAGCTTTTTCGCGTTCGCGTGAAGGGGTGCGTGACCGATCAGGCTTTTTCAGGGTCAGTCTTCTGGGAGAGTCTGTGACATCCAAGTCACTGCTAGATCCTGACGGCGACAGGGAATCTGGAAACAAGTGACAACTTCACATTACAGAACGAATTTTTTTTCTTCTATGAAGCGCTTTTAGCAGGAAATGTTTCCATGAACAGGAAGGGTGTACCACCTCTTTAGGGTAGTCAACGAAAAAAGAAAGCTGATTGAAGGAGACGAAGAGTGACGGAAATATATTTTATTACATGTTTTGGTGTGTAGTACCGCTGTATATTTTTACGAGTTGTGCCGTATTTTGACGAGCCCGTAGGGCGAGTCAAAATACAAACAATGAGTAAAAACATACAGCGATACTACACATCAAAACATCTAATACGAGATTTATTATCCAACTGCTGTAGTCAATAAATTTATCGATGAAAGAGGGAGAGTGTGAGAGTTTTGCGTGCGCGCGCCGACCTGTACGGCAAACAGGTTTTCTACTGTACAAATACGCCAAACAGGTTTTCTACTGTACAATACCGCTGTAGATTTGTACCGTTATTTGGACAGTATTCGCTGCAGTTGGATAATACAGTGCCTTATTTTATAGGTTCGTCCTGTCTTTTTAACAACTAGATACCACGTTCACCAAGTTAGTTTTGTTATCGATAATGTGTATTAACTACTTAATCAAAATATGGACATAAAAACTATTTTCACGTTGGCAAAAAATGCGTGCAAAATTACAGTTTCACTTCAAATGTTACAGGTGGAATTTCTGAATTTCCGAGAAATATAATTTGATCTCTGACAAGTCTGGAATGTTAAATACATGGCGACACATTAAAACTCAAAACAAACTCAAAACCAAACTTTACCTTCTTTGTTACTGTGCGCTAATTTTGCTAGTCTCTGAAGCTCGTACACGGCAGCAAAGAAATTCCGCAGCTTGTTCCACATGTGCGAGCTGGTCGTGTTTGATGGCCACTTCCCTTCCACTACAGCCTACGGAATACAGAAGAGGGAAACTGAGATCAAGCAACTCAATGACACGTTTGGAACTTGCTCCACAGAGACCGTGTGGCTTCCGATTCGTTGCTCTGCTAAGAGTTTTCGCGCGCTATTATCAACCGATCAGGTAACACTGCTCAGATCTCAATGGATACAGACGTTTCTCTTTATTCTGCTCCGGCGCTCATTCGTTCGTTCCTTTGCTTGTTTGGGTGGAATTGACTCATTTGAGGGTGCGCAAGCTGTCACGCTGATCGTAAAAGTAGCTTCTGACTGCATGAAATTTCATGGGGCAGATCTAAATCAAGCAAACGACAGGCGAAATTAATACTAGTCAAGGATACTTTTTGTGATTCACGAAATCGTCCAAAACGGTGAAATATTGTATATCTCTTTCTCAAACTCTCTTCTCAATCGATTAATATGCCAGACTTCATTGATATAGCCCGAGTAGCTGGCTTTTCGAAAGTAAGGGGAGAGAGAGAGGAAAAAAGAAGGAAAGGGAAGAGGAAGACTTCTCTCCTCCTCCCCTCCTCCCTAAGAGCGCCTGATGGTGCGGTTATAATTGTAACAATCTTCTTACCCGATTGTAATACCCATACGTGACAGCATTCGGTGTGATTCCTTGGTTTTTCATCTCAAACCAAACCTGTATGGAAAGAGCAGAAATCAGCTGAATGACTTCACACCTTATCCAAAAGTCTGTGTGCAAGTTTCCCACGCCATACGCCACTGAATCACACTGAACATTTATAGTTGAGGTAAACGTACTTTCTCAGTTTTAGGGCGGTTACTGAGTGTCGAAAGTTATCAGACAATTACCTTGGCTTTGGTTTTGGTTTTACTACGGTTTGAGATTGGCTGAGTAGCCTAATTGGTAAGTGGTTTGTAATTGGTTTGGTTTTGGGATTACGCCATTCAATTGAAAACCGCTCTATCTAGCTTTGTTTGCGCCGGGGTGGGTTTATTACATCACCTTGACTAACTTCTACTGCATGTACTGCCTGCAGTCACATATTTTACCAGGATTGTTTTAAACAACTACACCTTCTTCACGCAAAGTCGTGTTTAAACCCACGTTAAACGCAAAAAAGAGTGTTCTTTAAGGGAGTGTTGCATATGAAACTCATACAATGTCAAATGGGTCGCCATGGTAATCCTTGTTTTTCGTTATATTTAAACTATGAGCAGTACCTCTTTTTTTCAAGGTCTGTTGAGCGTGAACCAAACTAGAAGCACGAGTACAAAGAAATAGAAGGGGTGCGTTCAGGAGGTTCTGTAAGCCAACACCCAACACGTCTGACCGGTCTAGGATACTCACCTTGACGGCAAGGGCAGGGTGACCGTACTGTCCACAAAGCTGCATTAACACTCGGTAACACACCTGTTTCATGAAAAGGAACGAAAGAAAGAAATCCGTCAGCTTGCCTTACTAATTTGTAACCATTTGCTTGACTCGCCATGGCTGTTCCACTTAGGTGGATGGGAGGAACCAGGATTTGTAACATAAAGTAGTTACTAGTATTGCTACCTCCCCTCCCCTCCCTGGATGGGTTTCTGATACATCACAACTCAGTGAGCCTGACCTACGCTTGAACAGAGTCCGCACCATGCCTCCCAGGTGTTCAGCTTTGTAATTCTCCGCACTGTCCTTCATACATTTTCAACAATGTTCTGTGAGAGAGTTTGGTTTATTCATCACAACATGAATTCGGTATAAAAGAAGAAAGGTTAAAAGGACTGGTAGGACTCACCTCGTCTGGCAGTTTGACTTCTTTCTTCTTCATCTTGCATAAGATCTGCCATGAACAGATTGTAAGAGTCATGAGTAACGATCACGGCAATAGCCAGGCAAAACCAAGTAAGAATCTGATCAAAGAGCTTTATGTAACTCGTAGACAACACATTCATGTGATGCATATGATATAACATGGAGTGTTTGAACAAAAAGAATATTGAATTTGTAACTTAAAATTGACTTACTTCAAAAGCCACGTGCAGGACTTTCGCTTTGTTATGATGACGTTTCACATAGGCGGGGAGATGAATGAACCAAAGACTGTAACAGTGAGCTAACAAGCACCTACAAAGGTATCAAACGCAATAGAGAACGGACAGTCAAATACACTGCTTGAAACACAAGAACACTTGATCAGAACTACTACGAAACAAACGCTGAAGAACAATTAACAAAGTTAACTCACTTGGCCCAGGTAAAAGGACTTCCAGAGTTCTTTTTCGCCATCTATGAAAGCAACGTTAAATGGTTAAAATTTACCCTTTGGAAACTGTTTGAATCAATTACAAAGAGGATCGCTGTTTTGGATTTTTAGTACCTCTTTGACAGCTTTCAGTTTAAATCAAATTTTAAGAGCTGAGGTACGTAGGGATATTAACTCTCTGAATGTGAATGTGTAGCTTGACAACCCCACTCCCCATAGCTTTTTAGACATTCTCACTGGACATTTTGAGCGACAGCCGTTGCAAAGTTGTAAAAAAGATGTCAAAAATTAGTCAAAAGCTTACAAGGCATTTGATAAATTTTTGAGATGGGAACACTACAACAATCTTCGTTATACTCAATGAGTTCTTAGTTAGTTCTAGTTTACTGACTAATGTAGACAGATATAGCTGAATCTAAATAACGTGCGCGGTCCAATGTCAATTAAAAGCGGTTTTCAATTGAGTGTTGAAAGTTATCGAACAATTGCTTTGGTTTTAGTTTTGGTTTTACTACAGTTTGAGATTGGCTGAGTAGTCTGATTGGTAAGTTATTGATTTCATTTTGGTTTTACGACACTCAAATGAAAACCGCTGTAAGCCACAGCTTGAAGAGTGAGATGTAAGTTTCAGTTACCAGAACAGATTGATGTCTTTCAGCCCTAGTTCTCCTGGCCACAGGTGACACGGGTGGAGTCATTGCCGACTGTGCATGAAGTGACAGCTTCTCTGGCTTCATGAGTGCAACATTCAAAACTGGAAACACTGGGTATCTGTTTAATAACAACAAAATGTATCCTTATATCATTGATTCAAAAAATAATATAATTGTGGAAAACTAAAACATTCAGACTTAAATGTACAAGGTACAATTAAGTCTTAAAACAAGTTTACTTACGTATAGAGCTTTCCTTTTTCCATGTTAGACACATCCGGTGGTGTGACAACATAAGTTCTCTGGCCACCCCTGTTGAACAAGAAATGTTAACTAACAGTTAACTAAGTACAAAAACGTAATGGCAATCAAAGCATTAACGCACAGAGCGTGAGAAAAACGGACAGAATTTGAAGTAAAATCGTATGACTGGAAGCTACTGGAGACAGTGCCAGTAAAGTCGAGGAGCTTAGGAAATGCAAAACCCACGAAAGGATTTTTCTGGTGCCTACTCAAAAACCGCACTACTGTGTAAAACCTTGTCATCTCTACTTCCCATTTCCAGATCACAATGTATTTTACCTTGCAACTGATTCATCCACCTCAACGAGTCGGCTTTCAGGTGATATTTCAAGCTGCAATGCGACACACAGAAAATCAAGTAAACTAACTGTACACTTATTCACTGAAGTCCTAGTATCCCCCCCGCTCGCCTGTTACGTGACATCCCAAAAACGAGCTGTGGAGGAGACTACTCACGTCCAGAATTGAACGCAACTATTGTTTACCAAGTACTTTATGTTTGTCATATTCATATTAAATGTACTTCATATTGGACAGAATTATGTACATTTTGGTGAACTTTTAGCGATGAGGACAATGGGTGATGCTTGTCATATGGACGTGCACCTCACTTGAATGTCCAGTCCTGGACATATCTGCACTTTGTACAAGAACGTTCAATGGAATGAAGATCATGTACTTGTGAAACAGTATATATATGTACCTGGGCCCCACCCGGAGAAATTTGAAAACGCAGCCTTATTTCTACGGTTAGGCCTATGCCGTCCACACTAATCCGTCACGAAAACGGACCTTTTCGAAAACGCTCTGCAAACCGGAGGAAAACGATGAGTTTTCTGTCGCCGGTGATTGTTGCCTTTTCAAATTTCTGCGGCGTGGCGTGGACGGAAAACATTTGATGTGTTTTCACAATGAAAATGGCGTTTTCAAATTTCTCTGGGGTAGCAGACGGGGCCTGAGAAGAACAGATCATGAAACACCAATTAGTGTGTGCGAAGAGAAACGGAGTAAGGCAGGTGCACTGAACAAACCAACAACAATGTCAGGTGAAATTAAAAATACAAACCGTCCAGACACTTACTCTTTCTAAACAATTGTCAAAGAAAGCCAACAGGGAATCTTGTGCTGTCACAAATGATCTCTGCTCGATAAACCTGCTGAACATCTGCGAAAAAAAAAAGACAAGTACATCATATTAGAGAAGAAGGTGAGAGTCGCCTCACTGACGAGCCGTAAAGATGCACAGAAAAAATGGGCGCGGACGTATGTACGTATGTACTCCGGGCGCATGTACTCTGATAAAATATAGCTTTTTAGTAAATCACAACGAACCCAAAATCCAGACACTGTATTGTAAATTCAACTAACGTAGTCAAGTGAGAAATGCTCACAAATCACGATGGATATAAGTAAACCAAAAGCACCAGGGCTTCGTTACCTGTGTCCTTGATAAGGTCTGGAAAAACTTGGACTGCGAGCTGGGGCGACTCTTGAGGAAACCTAACCAAAGGAAATATATTGAATCAAAGGATTGTCCAGTTTTAACGTAAATACACTGAAACGAAATTTTACCGTGAGCAGAATAGCTGTATTTTTGTTGATGTTTATTGATAAAGCCTCCTATCTCTAGTAGTTTTGGTCATAACAGGCTAACCTATACAACAGGCTTGCCTGAGGCAAGTCGCATCTCGCACTGGCTTGTGGGACTGTTGCTGGGGACAAAAGAAAAGACGACAAGCTATATTGTCCCTTGTAACCATCCCACAAGTGACTGCGAGACAGGACTCGCCCTGGCAGGTTTCTTCTCGTATCGTTTGTACATATAGCCTACCCTCTAGGTCAAACAGAGACGTCAAATCGCATGTTTCTTGTGTGGGTGCTGACGTTATTGGTTTCAGGAAAGACCTGCAAAATAATTTAGCTGATTCAAAGCCGGGTTTAAGTTTTGGAGGACAAAAATGTACCTTATTACATGAAATTTTCGCGATACGTTTATTTCACGATTTTGAGGTGCGAATATTTCGCGACACTTAAACACCGCGATTTGGAGGAAATTACGGTATTTTGAATCACTTTACTTCGCGTTTTCGAGTTACACACAGTTTATTTCCTTGGCAATGTTACTTAAACATGTCCTTGAATTTAGCAAACCGACTTTATGAAAGGTTCAATAACGTCAAAAGTAACAAAAACGCAACGGCTGGACTATATGTTATCAGTTGAGTAACATAACGTGAGTCACTTAATTTTTGTGTCATGTTATGTTCGCGACACTTACTGTTCGTGTCACTTTAATTTCGCGATTTTTTTTAAATCGCGAAATTATTGTGTCGCGAACATATCATGTAATAAGGTACATCACCGAGGTACAGCTTTGATGGATAAAGAAGGTCTAAATGCAATCCTAATGTTTAACTTACAAGGTGAAGCTTCTATGACACTTCTTAATAATTGTTTTTGCTTTTCATTTCCACTTTACACTACTCGAGATCTTGTTAAACTAAAGTTGACACACTGAAAATGTCATTGAACAAGCGCGAGGTCTGTATTGAGGAAAAAATCAGCGCATAGTGGTAGTGATACAACAACATTTCCCCAAAACGTACAATCAAAAACAACAAAACAATTATCACTCACTGGTAGCCTTTCAGAATAGTCGCCATAAACTGCAAGAAAGCATCTTGAATGGCTACTTCTAGTTGAAGCTGAAGAGAAAAAGTAACAACCACAAAAAAAAAATAAACCAACAAACAAACAATAAATAAGTAAATAAATAAATAAATAAATAAATAAAATATCCATATTCTCAAACAATATTTCTCTTTAGCAATTATTCTACGAGCGCGCGTTGGATATGAGAAGGTAGATAGCCAACGAGGCGCCGAGTTGGCTTTTAGGGGATTTAAGATTTGAGCACGAGTACGACTTTTCAATTCCAGTTTGCAGGCTTCACATTTTCACGTCACCTACCCATCTCATCCCATGAGCTGCCCTCTCTAACTAAAACAGATATGAAGGGCGAGGGCTCTGGAAACGTCGCTGGTTTGAAATTCGAAAATCGTGCTCATACTCAATTTCGTACTCGCAGTCCAATCTAAAGCTCCCTATAATCATCTCATATCCAACAAGCACGTGTGGAATGATGGTTTTATTAAAAACGCCCTCAAATCACAGAAAACTAAAAATAAAGATAAAAACATAAACGGTCCAAAAGTTACGCGTGTGCTCATCATATTTATAGAGCACGGTATAATGGCTCATTTACCATGATGGCTAAGCCAATCAATTGCATTATCCAATGATCTAGTTGTTAATACTTATTATTTTAGGTAACCTCACATCGTGATATTAATGCAGCTCACCCTTTTTCTCGAGTGTGAAGTGTCGTGATCTAGAGGAGCCAGTTCAATGGCTGTCTCGATGATATCTCCGCCAGAAGCTGCAATAATAGTGAAATTTGTATAGGAAATGGTATGCACGAGTGATCTTTGAAAATAGGCCTTTTGCACGATCCGGTCACATGGTAGGGAATTAATTATACTCATTTACTATAATTTACGACTGAGAAAATTACGAACGCACGTGCGAAGTGCAAATTAAGATTTAACGTTAAAATAGCCTGCTCTCTGCCAATCACAATGAAGTAATTCTCTCAGTCATATAATAAATGAGCTAACAAATACACGTGAACACTCCTAACTATTCAGAGTTTGTAAGTACTTACTCTCTCTTTCCTTGTGATACAGCTGATACAACTGGTAGTGAAGCTCATTCAACCTCTCTTGTAAGACTTTTCCCGGTTTCTGCATTAAAAACAAAATTGTTTCATAAACGCAACTCTTCTTTAGTAGTGAAACTGACTTTCAGCCTCTTTAAGCACTTGCTTGATTAGTACGTACATCATTAAATATACCGAATATTTATTTTATATTACCTTTGGAAGGCTTTTCCAACCAAGGCCTTTAAGTTCATTCTCCCTGTGGTTCAAGACACTAAAAGTCAGTACAACATAAGTTGATAAATATTTGTTTTAGGCAGCAAGTTGAGGCGGAAGGCGAAAAAACGGCGGAGTGAGAAAAGAAGAGAGGGGCTTGGCGAGAGGAGTGACCGCCTTCCCGTGCCGCACTTCTCTCCCATTTTTTTCGTGCGCCATTTTGCGTGCTTGCGCCCAAATTCGAATGCTTGAAAGAGGCTAGATGACATCTACTTGTACAATCAAGAGTGTCCGAGATTTATTTGTCATAGATGCCTAAAACTTGCTTTGTTAATAATTTATCGAGATAAAATTTGATGCGATATATGAAACACAAAAGATCGTGTTTGACTACATTTCCAAACACAGAGAAGAGTTGAAAATTCTGAGCAAAGTCGGGTATTTTTGACGAACGTGTTTGGAAATGTGGTCAAATTCTGTCTTGAGTGTTTGATATGTCTTAATAAAATCGTAAAAACCTATGCTTATTAAGATCAGATACCCAAATACCATCACGGTCATGATTTCCTTTGTTTAAACTTGATCAATTGTAAATGAGTTTGAGAAGAACTGTTGGTAATCCTTATCCATCCTTGGAACACTGCACTTCGTTGCCAAAACACCCAATGTCCTATTTTTTCCCGTAGATTAAACATTTATCCAAAAAAAATTGTAACTTACAGTGAGATCATGTTGGTATCCAGGTCAACACAGGTGACATCATCAGGCGGGTCATACTGATCAAAGTAACGTGAATCAATCCCTGCAAAGTAAGTCAAATAATCACTGCTTTACAGTGAACATACAACAGCTGAGATTCCAGGGAGAGATCCAGGAAAAATACTGAAAAACATACCACAGACTCTTGGTGCTCAAGACATAACTGTAACATCTGAAATGTGACCAGCACAAGGTTCTCACCAGTGTGGTCTCGCATGTGAACGTTGAGGTGCCCGTTGTGTGTAAATTGTGAATTGCACAAGGAACAAGGACCGACAAGCAATTTGTTTGGGACGTTGTCGCTGTTTATACGCCGATTTCTTCGACGGAATGGTCGGCGTAGCAGGTGTGGCAGGGGCTGGGAACTCGAACTCTTGTGCATGAGGTCGATCATCAGTAAAGATAACTCGTGGCTTGAAAATACGTACATATCCGGATCGAGGTAAAATTCTTCTGAACTCCATCATGGATCAAAACCAAAGAAATGGCGCCGTGTGCTTAGCTAATATAGTCGAATTCAAAATGCAGGTGTAAAGAAAAAATAACACAATTGAAATACCGTCCAATCATGGCCTTGACGCATCTTTCGCTCAAAAGGTAGACCGTGGGAAGGAATGAGATTCCGTGGAAACGCGACTTTGACAAGTTTTTGACACAAAGGTGCTAAAATCGCCGTAATAAAATGTCGGGTTCCGCATCGTGCGTTCCTTCTCTAAAATGGAACGAGCAGGTCAATATCGGTGCCTCCTTTGCCGGCATTCCTTTACTAAGTGTGTTTTTTAGCGATCGTTTTTTGGAGGCACCACGGTTATTTTCCCAAGAAACATCGATGAATAGAAATCGACATATCACTTAAATCAGCTGATATCAAGTTATTGTCTTGGAAAAGTTTGATCAATGTATATTGTAATACAAAACTATGCTGTAATCCCAATGTAAACACCTTTGAAGTTAATAGAACTGCACCTTCAAGCGACCGGACATACTTATTTCTCAATAGAACTGAAAATAGTATGCATATCACGATTTGCTATTTGACTCGTTTAGCAGGCCGTAATGCTTGTCATTTGTAACGAACTGAAAGTTTGTCTAAGGCAGCTGTTATTATTAGAAAGGATGTTTTTATTGCGATTTTGTTCTTCATTCATTCTGTTTTTGCCGCCAAACCAATATTTATCACGCTGAGGAAGTTACTGACTTACTGTCAGCCTCCTACGCGGACACTCCTTGAGCTCGTCACGCAATCAGACGTTCGTTTCACTCATATTCTTCAGCGCTGTAACATTTATTTGTCCCACGGTAGTTTTGCATCAAGGGTGATAAAAATTGCCATTAACACTGTACATATTTTCTCGAGACTGCGGTTGTGTACATTCATTCATTTTCATAATGCTCCATTAAAATCTACCCTCTATTATGCAGATAGCGCAAAATCGAACCAGACTTCCATAATTCTCATCCTTCCTAAAAACCGAAGTCCCGTCATTATCATGGAAATTCGCTACAGTAAGTCGCGAGATGTTGACAGTTGCTATGGTAAAATTGATAGACATTTTGGTTTCTTTAGTCGTTGCGTCTAACACGTGCGCACGAATACACTCAGGCAGCGTCCACACTACGCCGGAGAAATTTGACCGTTCACACTAATCCGTCACGAAAACGCTCTTCAAACCGGGGAAATTTGAAAACTCCAGCTTTTGGTGCTCGTGTGGACAGAAAACATTTTCAAAACGGAGCTTTCCGAAAACGATGACGTCACGATAATCACGTGATTTCCCTGCCCGAGTTTTCCTCAAACACAAATCCAAAATGGCCGGTGATTGGTGCGTTTTTAAGTTCCTCCGGGGTGGTGTGCACGAAAAACATTTGACGCGTTTTCAGAGTGAAGCCTGTGTTTTCAAATTCCTCTGGCGTAGCGTGGACGGGGTCTCAGTCAAGGATATGAAGAATAATTAGAGGGAGTCTTTTATATGGTGTCTTATAAGGGCATAAAGGATCTTTTTTTCCAACACCGACTCACCTACAATGAAAGGACATGGGGCATCAAGAACATCATTTAATCCCAATGGACAAAGTGGAACATACGGGCACTGCCAGCTGAACGGAAACAAGAGCTAGAAAAGAACAACAAATATCTTGTATACTCATTATAGGCAGAAGGGTCAAGAACGTCTGCACTAGTGTAAGAGAGGCCCAATACACTGCTAATTAAAAGAGTCTACCTCAGTTTCTGAAGAAACTGAGATGTCTCAATGGCAAGTTACAGGTAGGAACATTACCACCGTCTCTCGGGGTGGGAAGTACTTGCCTTCTTAGTGAGGGACTGAGCAAGTTACATTTGTTTGTATTTGTAAAGAAGGATTGAGACTTGCCAGGGCAACTGAACTACTAACATAAACACCAATTTCCATCTCTGCAATGCTCACCCCTCCCCCTCCCCCCCCCTTCGGGATGGGTTGTGAGCCAATCACTGGCTAACGTCACCTTCCTCCAGCAATTTGTGAGGCCAGCTAGGCTAAACACTTGCTAGTACCCCTTTACTCTTTGATCGTAAATGTAAAATCCCTTGCCAAAACATGAATGCAGTGCTCAAAGCCAGACTGCCTGAATGTTCTTATGATTACATAACTGCCTCCTGGAGGTACAGCTTTTAAAGTGTATCTCTATGTCTGTACTATAATAAAATTAGCATACATTTACCATTGATAGTCTAGTGTTGAATCTGTGAATTTGATTGGCTCTATTACCGTTTTCCATCTCCTGATAGAAAACTGAGCGCATGAGTTTTGCTACACCCATTACTGCGCATCACGTGTAATGATTGAAACCCTTTGAATTGCCTTTGAATCACTGATGTATACTTGACATTCCTTTGTGCAATGAAACTACAGTAAATTTAAACTAAAACAATTGGACTACTCATCCTCGTTTTCTATGAGCGACAGAACCTTTGCATAAATGATGCCCAAGTTTCAATAATTTTGACAAAATTTAATAAATTTTGATAACGATACTTTGTACATCTTTAGCCTCTTACTTACGTTTCCATACAAAGGATTTTTCACATGAATTTCAGGCTTAGGATGTACAAGTACTGTTATTCAAATATTGGTACCATTTACGCCAAGGGTCTATAGTCAACTTGGCTGCACCTCATTGACCATCTGTGCGTAGAGAACCCAGGCTCATAGTCTAATTGTTAAATACAAAATGTAACTCTTACCAGTGGCAGAATAATATTATGAATAATTATTTTGCAGCTTACCGTTGTAATGGCTTCAGCAATACTTGTCAACAGAGTTGGTCTCAGGGAGTGGATTAGTATTTTATGTTCAGTGAGAACAAGATAAAACAGCAGCATGGCATTCTCTGGATGAAGGTAGCGAAGCATGGCTATGTATGATGCACCACTGAAAGCAAATGCAAATAAGTTACAACTGGTACATCTACAGGTACAAATGGAAACCTCGACCATGTGTGGACCACACTAATAAACACAGTCATGACAATATTAAACTGCAAAATAAAATAGCATTATCTGAAACATAAAACGTTACACACATGAAAGATAGTTCTTATTAAATGCTGTAAGAACAGTATGGAGAGTAATCTGTAACGTATGAAACATACAGTACATTTTTTTTCAGCCAGAAATGTGCTCAAAGCAGCCAGTTTATATTTATCTATATATTATAGTTCACAAGGGTTTCCCATCTCTGTGAATAATTAACTAACTACTTAACAATTAAACATCTAAATATAAAATACATATAACAATAACAATTAAGTTTCTAAAATATACATAATACAGTGTAGCACAGTTCCTCACAGTGTGCACTGTTTATTGAATGCAGAAGCCCAATATTTATAATACTGATGTTGTAGCTAGAACTGATTTAATTTCAGTTCAAAAAGAACTTAAACTAGTATAATTTGAATCTTCTTTTGCACTCCAGACTTATTGCCAAAGAACTACACTGATACTCCAACAGATGGGTATCATTATTTAGGTCATTATGCTGTATGTTTATACCAAAGTATTGATTAAATCAACGCGTTGAAATTACAACCGGTCACACAAGCTAAAAAATCCATTACCTAACTGGTAGAAGAGTGTGAGAAAGTTGGCTGATTTCAAAAGGGTCATACATGCTCATCTGCAGAAACAAACAAAAAAAAACAATTTAATTTATTCACTGAAATAGCTGGCAAGGATCCTAAGTCATATAGACAGCTGAGCAGTCTGCTCTTTTTTACATTTAAATTACTACTAACAGCTCTTCTTATTTTTGCTTTCTTCAATTAGAAAAGAGGCACTCCTTGACAAAAGTCAGTTCAGAGTTACATGCATTGCATGATATATGTTCCAGGGTTGTTCTCTGGAAGTGCCCAGGTGCCTCAGGTGACTAACTTTTGCCTTTGGGCAACTAGAAAACTTTATTTTTTCACATAAGCTTAAGTGCTGGGCATCCAGGACTTCATGGCTAGGAACCTTTGGGCTCCTCTTAATTTTTCTTAGACAACAGCCTTGATTGAACTGTAAATGTACAAGTGACAGTGCATGTGTATGACAGAATGGAAAATAATTATACTGTGAGGAGAAAAACAATCTTTGTCTGCCTTGGAGTTTATATGTCAAAAGTAGACAGGTATTTAGGAGAATTACAGTAACAAAAGACTTTTGCACTTTCATTTTGCTTTTTAACCTCCAACTGACATAAAAAATATTTTTTGGGGGACAAAACATACCTGCACAAGAATTCGTGGTCTTTGAGGTGATGGAAAAGGAACATCAAGCATCAAAATTGCTATATACCTATGAGGATAACATAATTTTTTTGTTTAAACTACTAAGAATTTATATAATGTAAATCATAATTATTTTGGTCCCATGTTTCAAAATTATTAGGAGTACACCGCAAGGTTTCTTACACTGTTCAAAAAAGAGTTTCCAAAACTGGGTACTAAATGCTCTGAAAGTTTCCAATGGGTTTGAAAGGTGTTCTTAAAGGGTTTCTGGAGGGCCAGCCTCGGCTATGGGGATGAATGAATGAAAGGGTTTGCTATTTTAAATGTTTCAAAAGGGTTTCTAAAGGGCTTAATAGGAATCTTCAAAGTGTTTCTAAAATGTTTGCTAAGGGTTTTCAAAGGACTTCGAAAGAGTTTCCTTGAGGTTTTCAAAGGGCTTCTAAAAGGTTTGTTAATGGTTTTAAAAGGGTTCCTAAAGGGTTTACCAGCAGTTTTCAAAGGGCTTCTATTAGGATTTGCTAGGGTTTTTCAAAGGGCTTCAAATGGTTTTGCTAATTTTCAAATGACAAAGGAATTCTTAATAGTCTGTTACAGGTTACTTTTTAAAGGGCCTCAAAAGGGTTTGCTGAAGTTTTTCAAAGGGCTTGTAAAAGGTTTGCTAAGAGTATTCAAAGGGATAATTTCAAAGGTGTTAACACATGTAAATGTACCAGGGTACACTTACATGTAAGGGGGTTCTATAAAGTCACTGGGTATTTAAACTTGAATCCTGTTAACAGGGAGGTGAATAGGGGTATGCAAATCCACCAATCCATGCCTTTTTTCGCCATATCTGTCGATCCACCAATATTTTTGTTCAAATCCGAAACCACAATCACATCCGGAAACAGAAGAGTTAAAGTTCATTAAGGTAAACTGGTAAATCTGAATGCTATTGTTAATTTCCCACAAATAGTAAAGAAGGCAACATGCTTGAGGACTATAACACAGTACAATTCCAACAACAGTCTCACACCTGACTTTAAATGAGCTTCATTCAAAAAAAAGAAATAATTTGGATGAACTCATTAACGTGCCAACCAAAGGTGAAGAAAGATCTATGATCCAAATTTCATTTAGGCTCCAAGATCTGAACATCAAGACAGGCACAATCCAGAATCCGCACCTAAATTCACAGCGGATCCACAATCCACTGTGATCCACGATCCGCGAATCCACTCGATTTACTGCAAAAATCCATAATCCGTGTGCTTTTTAAAGCCAAATCCATCAATCCGAAAACCTATTCACCACCCTCTGTTAAACAAGAATTTAAATCACCTCTCAGAGTATACCAAATATGCAATATGCAAGACTTACCTTTCAATTGGAAGTGGTTGTTCTGATACAGAGATCCGATACAACTGTGACAAAAACTTCTTGAAAGCTTCAAAGAATGGCCAGTGTGACAATACACAGATACACTTGTTTGTATGAGCAACTTTCTTTCCTTCTTCCCAACTCTGAAAAAAAAGCAATGATGGCAAACAATCCATGTTGAGAATTGCTTCATTTGTTCATTACATGAACTTATCTGCTAGAGGTAGTATAAACAAATGTTTCTCCTGTTCTCCATTGTAAGTGCTAATAATATTTTGCATGTGTATGCTTACATGTACAAGGCAAATACGCAAATTTCAGTTTGTTGAATAGACGTTATCAAAACCTGATCAGTTGCAAGAACAGTGCAATTTACATGTATGAGATGAACTCAGGTATTTATGATGTGAGGCAACTGGAATTCATTGTCTACTCTGTAGATCAATGCAAGATTTTTGCTAGCTTTAAAAAACAAACTGTGTCCTTACTTCATCATCATTCAGCTTCAATGCTTGTTTTCTTTCTTCTGTTAGCTGCTCTTCAGGTAGGAGTTCAAAGAATGTCACAGCTGCACCATAAATCTTCAGGGGAAAAAATAAGTTTAAATTCCTTCCCGAGATTGAAGGAACATATCAAAATCACATGATCACACATGTAGATGTATCTTTGGGCTAGCTTTCCTCTTGTCTGTGACTGTACACGATTACTGCTCTTTCCATTATTGCTCCTTGACCATCAGCAAACTCCAGTGTATTCCAAACATGATTCCAAACACATACACTGTACATTGCGTCCTGAATTTATCTTTGCACTATTACTAACTGTCTGACTGTCTGATCGTCAGTTGGTCTGTCTCTCTCTGTCCATCCACATCCATCCATTCACCTGTTTCTCTCTCTTACCCAGTCATTCTATTACAGAACTGTAGTCACTTGGTCCCTCTCTCAGTTCTGTTTCATGCATTCATCTGTCCATCCGTGTCTCAAGCCCATTCATTAGCAAACTTACCAAGTTTATATTTCACACAGCTACAGAATATTGATTGGAAAGGAAAAATGTCACCCACACCTTTTGTCCTGATGCTCCTGTGAGTACAAATGTAGAGAAAATGGGAAGAGGATGCTGTGAATTTTCTGGCCAACACTCAATGATTGCTCCTTGAGGAAGACAAAACATTGGAATCTTATCCGGTAATGGAAAACCTTCGTAATCCTCCACAGGGAATCGACTCAAAACCTCTGAAAGAAATGACAGATCATTCAATGAGAATGTTATCTATAGTGATTTACGAGGGAATTTTCTGAAAAGGTATTAAAAATTTCTTCCTGAGCGACAACTGATCGCTAGAGATGCACTCTACCTGCAGGGTAAGTGATAGAACGCAGCCTTGCTAATGATTTTCTGTAACAAAGGTACACATCAGAGCCAACCTAGTTGTAATAATGAGAATGAATTAATCATAGTTACAGTTTGTATAGTGTGGCAATTTTCACTTAGCACTCACAATAGTAAACCAGTGCAGAGGAAGCTGAATAGCAGGCACCCATACACAGGTCTGACAAGGTCTGTCAAGGCTACAAATATGTGCCCATGTTCATTATTCCATTGTAAGGGAAAGTCTTCATGGACCTTACATGTACTTTGCAAACCTACATAACACTGATGATAATACAGAGCATGAAATTTTGCTTGGTTGCATCTCATCAAAGTACCAATGAATTGGCCTGACCAGATTCACCTGCTATGCAACTGAAGAGTACAGAAAAGGTACAGGTACTGCAAAATCACTGTGGACTGGGCTCAAATTTTGATGTGCTCACATTCCATCATGTTGTTGTAAGTTGACTGTTAGTGAAGAGCAGTGATGGATACAAGATACGAATTAAACTAAAGAGAAAGGGAAAGGAGAAAAATGTGTTAAAATATTTTTACCTCATTTCTCCGTTTCATTCCCTTTCCCACCTTTGGTTTGAACTTTGCTTACAGTCAACTCACCACAACACAAAGGAATGTTGGGTCAGCAAAAGTAAGTGGGAGTGGTTGCCGACCAAAAATTTGAGCCCATTCCATGGTTCGATTAATTTTGTGGCAGGCATAATGTATAAATACAGAGCAATTTTCTCTATCGCTAAAGGAAATAAAGCAGGAACAAAACAATGGACTTACCATGCCTTTGTTGAGGTTCTTTTCAATCAAGCAAAATGCATGAGGTGGTTTTTCATTCTACAGTAAAACACAATGTAGGGAAATGTAAGGAAATTATCGCCTTGTTTTATAGGCCCCAAATTAACTATACATGTACTTCTCTTAGCCCTGAAATTCAAAATGTTTCTAGTTCTACTGTATCTGCCTCTGAACCTCACTCATTTTCTTCGTAAAAGCCCATTTTACTGTGCAAACTTGTGTTCGCGTTTTCTTTTTTTCTTTCTCTTTGCTTTTGCTCACTGAGCTTTGTTTATCTATTTTTATCCTAAGTAAAGATCATTTTTGTATGGTAGAAAAGATACACATGTAAATGTTAATTTATTGTCTTCTCTTAGAAATCTTAAAAGGTAGTCCTTAACATAAGCCTTATTGGCTTCCCTGGGCTTCATTGCCATATAGATTTGGTATTTGTAAATACATGTATTATATTTAATGTGTGACAAACTTACATTTACAGTGTATAATAATAAACTAAGCTGAAACTTAAAACTGAAACAATATTCATGTTACAATGTACTATAGTACACCTAGTTACATAATAACAGGGATGGTATTGAATATTAGAGCAATGCTGTGACCAAAGAGAGATGTCTGTATGTAACTTACTCGAGCTAATGTAGTGTACAGCTGTAAACCAAACAACTGAAGCCTTAATCCAGAATTTTCTATTCATTAACCCTTTTAGATCTTTAAGCAAAGATGACAATCCCGGATCTTCAATCAATTTTTTAAGGTTACTCCAAACCTTCGTGGGTGTCCTCCACACAAAAAAAAAATTTGTATGTGCGCTGTTTTCAAGGAAACCACCACAAACTATATACATGTATCAGTGGAAATGGTTATGAAATGTAGAATTCGATAAAATTATAATGTTTTGCTGATTGCTTTCCTAAGGAGGTAGAAGCCGTTAATGCCAAATGGACCATCTGAAGTTCCAAAGAATTAATTGGGTATCAAATGCAATCACTGATGCAAAATAATTGTGCAGTGTTAATCACAAAGCATCAATCTCTCAAAGTGTGTCAGCATTTTCTTTTATTTCTATTGGTTATCTTTTTATAGATCTGTCAAGTTCCACTATTAAAAAATTCTCGTAACGTGTTGCACAACAGGCTGCCACAAGAAAAGTATTTAAAATTAAAGAATTTGGTGACGCACTTTCGTTCCATATTTATCAGTGAATATTCTGGGCAAATTTCACAGAAAATCGTTGATCTACATACTTTATTAATTCATTTAAAGAGGAGAGATTCTCTCAAAAAATGAGTGCAAGTTTTCGCCCTCTGAAGATTTATTAACAAGTCACGCCTTCCCAGAGGGATATGTCAACTCAAAAAGTTGCCAGCCAATGAAATAACTGAATCCCTAGCATTCACAGTCTGCAAACTGGAGCTTTGTGGAAAGTGATATTGTTACAGTCACGTTTTAGGCGCACATGTTTTAGGTCAGTGGTCAACAATGGGCAAAACAGAGGGAAAGCAATGTCTAACAAAACAAAAAGAAACTGAGGAGCAATTGCCAAAGCGTGATTACAAAGAGGCAATCTTGACGGACATGAAATCTTTGATATACATGTAGGATCTCTGGATTAAGCTGTTTGCCATGAAAAGATCGCTGAGGTCCATGCCTTTTGGGGATTATGACACCTTGACAGTTTATTAACTTTTATTAAGCACATGCACGTTTTATTCTTTCATCTTCATTTTTTGGAAAATGTTACCTTAAATAATGAACTCTAATTTGGTTGGGGAATAAAAAAATTTGGCAAAAGTAGCCCCACAAAGGTTTGGAGTAACCTTAATAGACTTACCTTGCTTGCTATGATGACACAAATTTCTGTAACTGCTAAGGAAGAGTGTGCCATCTTCTGGTTTGCTCGACGATACGTGATGAATGTTCTGTTTCCGCCGCTGTTGTTGACATTGGCAGATTTTCCTGTTTCTGTATACACAATGATGTCACATCCTGCCATCAACCGCTCTTTCCCTTCATAAAGGACACTAAGATCAAACATTCGTATGATGTTAGTACTTTTTCTTTTTCAGCTTAATGCAAGAATTTGGTAGTAAGTTAAACCAAACTCAGTCATTCACTGTGATAATGAATAAATGTCTATTCTTGATGCCTCATCACTGATCAACATTCTTGTACATAGAGATAAGTGACTGAAGAGTTAAATGCATAATAACCTAAATTCATTAACACTTTAATCCAGAAGTTCAAAACCTATAAAAGTTTTTTAACTATTGCATTTTCACTGATATCAATCATGATTACCAGAACATTCAACAAAACTTGGGTTCCCAACCCACGAAAGTGACCTTTTGAACCTGTTTGAAAATCCGTTTCCTGCAAGGTCCACTGAGATAACTAACAGTTGCAAAAATGTTGTTTGAGCAGTCAGTTCACGTTATTCCAAAATGCAGTAAGACTGCAGTATATACATTGTGAGTGTAGCGATAAGACAATGACATTCACTATGAACTCATACATGTACGCTCATGTATGAGCCAAAAATGCATTGATTTAGAGATCCAGCTGTATAACCTTATTGTACATCATATAGGCCTCAAATGTATGTTTTCTCTCTATCTGGCAAGAGAATAATCACGAAAAAAAAGACACTTCCCCAGACCTGATGGATGGTATTCTGGATATTCCCCTAGGAGGGGGGGGGGGTCAAAGACCCTGGAAATTCAGGCATAAGCGGGGGTCAAAAAATCTTGCCATTTGTTGGAGGTGTGTGAACTTTTCTGAAAGACTAATCCAAGAAAATTCTTACCCGATATCAGTCAGTGGAGGCTTGTCTGTTCCCCTACGAATGCAAAGGAAACATGATGGCTGCCTGATAGAGCCATGATTGAGATCTGCTGGAAAGCCTGCTGGAGTTTTCTCAATGCAAGTGTAACCTCTTGGTGGCCTTTCTCCCAAACTCTTAAATATCACTGTTACATCTGTGATTGGCTCCAAAATATTTCTGTCGTCATCAAACTGAATGGCATTTGAGGACTTGCCATTGCCAAGGCCTGCTACTACAAAGTAGTCACCTACTCGCTGGGGCTTCTCACGGTCAACCATACTCCTTGAACATCATCCCTATCAAGAGTGGATTATGTTACGATATACATCTAGAACATGTAGCTTGAGTATTAACTGACTTAAGAGAAATACATGTATGCATAGCAGTCAACTGTGTAAAATGCAGACTGCAGACTGCAAACCAGGGGTAAACCGCAGACAGCATACTATAATACAGGCTTTTTAAAGTGTGCCTGACAGATATTTTTTATTTGCTCGATGGAATCTTCACGAGATTGTGATATGGAAATTGAAAAAAAATTTAGAATATTAATGGTTTTTCACCGCATTTTAGCCATCAGAAAACGTGAAATTTAACTTCACATAATTAATGCATTATTTTAGGTACAATTAAATAACTATATGTGTAATGAAGGAAAATGTAAATAAAAGCCACCCAAAACATTTTTTTAAAAATACTTAACAAACAAATAAACTATTTTAATACACCACTGAACCCCAACAATATTAGGCTAACCTCAAAATTTCAAAATATGTCAACAATTTCAAGTTCATTGCACAAATTCATGTCCACATGCAATACTATTATTAATCAATTTGGTAACTTCATGTGTAACTTATATACATGTACCCCAGCTTTAATATACAAAACACACACATACATGTATAATCATACTTAGGGCTGTTCTCTGGAAATGCCCAGGCGCCACAGGTGGCTAAATTTTGCCTTTGGGTGACTGGTAAAACATACTTTTTTTCATATAAGCTAAGTGCTGGGAACCCAGGATATCATGGTTAGGAACCTTTGGACTCTTTAAATTTTTCTTTGACCACAGCCTTTGTACAAGTAAAACAGTTGTCTACATGACTATTACACTGTATATATAACTTTTTTAATTTTGAAATAGACTTCAGTCATGAAGCTTAAGATTACACAAATACTTTCAGTGTAGACTAAAAAACATGGTGAATTTTACACATTGTCTTTATGTAGTGTTGCAAAAAGTATATCAAATACATTGTTTTCCAACTGTGCCTGGAATGCAGAAACACAGCAGTTCCATGGTGTCCATGTAGTGTTTCCAAAGAGGCCCATTTTTCTTTTTCCTTAGTAAAATCTAGAGGAGTGCTGTATGTGGAAATAGCCTGAATAGCAGGCATTCTTACCCTGTATCCTAGGTCCACTTCAAGCACTTCATAACAAAGAAATGTTTGCACTGACCAAAAATTTAAGCAACAACATACTATGAAGTCTCTTGTTAAAACAACAAACATGAATTACAATACTTGCAACTTTTGCTCTACTACAATCTTCTGTTCAGCATGTTTTATGTTTACCAAAAACAATTCATTTATAAAAGTAACACACCAGATTTTCTACTGCATTTGCTCACATACTACTAAACACACGATTTTACTAGCCGTAATATTGTTTCACCGGTCTGGTCGAAATGTCAAACCCTGCTATTACAAAGTCAATTGCTAGTTTGCACTATCATGCCATCAAAAATAAACAACATAACCATTGTCTACATCTAATTAAAGTCAAGTATCTGGAATAGGTGATTGATTTAGTCTCATGTAAGGACTGTTTAGTAAGCACAAACTTGAAAAGAACATGTCACACCAGGTAAAAGCTTGTACAGACATGTACAATTTAAGTGCTAATTACAAAACAAAGAATGTGTTCACTGAGTTTAAACTTTGTAAGAAATCAAGTTCTTAGAGGATTCTTTAAGTCATAAAGCTAAAAATTCACAGCAATTCATACAGGTTATATTAAAAAAAAAAAATTGGGATATCACTTGTCCATCACATGCAAACCAGCAATATTCTTAATCAACATGATAATACATTGTAATTCATCAGATTAATGTTCATGAAAACTTACTCACAGAGAGACATGAAATATAATGGAGTACAGTGGAAGCTAAATTCTTAAAGTACATGATCACTAGAAGAAGTTAAGGAAATATGTGTACACATAAAAATGTTTCACTAGATTTTCACTAGATTAGTACACAGTAGGGCTTGCAAAAAGTGCCCTCCCGTCATGTGGGACAAGTAGATTTTCTGATATCAGGCAAATAACTTAAATTCATCCTGACTTACCCAATAGGCCACATTCGATATATCAATATTCTAACATGGCTCCGAGGCTTTCGGGACAAATGCTATATTTGGTGTTGTTTTCTTTGTATCCAAGAGTCTTTTTGGAATTGAGGGACAAAAGAACCTTAAAGTGCCACTGAAACAAAATTTTTGTATGTGAGATGTTTGCTTAGTAATAAAGTTTCAACCTTACTTGGAAACACTGCAAACTTTTTTTTCGCATAAGGTAAGCGAAAACTGCTTTTTCAGCTGTCCGAAGTTGGCTGGTTAAGCCCAAAATTGGCGGCCATTTTGGCGCGGCCAAAACAGCCTACTGACGTCACTGGTTGTATCACTCTCATGCCGCGCTGAAAATTTAGAGTGATTNGAGAGAATCTATAGCGCTTCTTGCGTGAATACAACCAGTGACGTCACAAGGTCCTTAAATTCGGTTCCAGAGCCCGGACACAGTTTTGCTCTAAAAAGTTGATTTCAACGGCTAAAAAAAGCACTTTCCGTTAGGATTTGACAGAAATAAAGTTCACCATTACTTTAAGCACGTTTGAAACTATAGATTGGGATAATAAAAGAGAGTACGAAAATTTCGTTTCAGTGGCACTTTAAAAAATTTGCAATTTTGACCTGAAAGCCTCTGAGCCACGTTAGAATATTGATATATCGAACGTGGCCTATTGGCAAGCGCCCAGGCAAGTTGTCTGCCAACTAAATAAAAAAACAGTAAACTAAGACTTGCCCAGGACAAGCAAATTTCAGAGCTGCTTGTCCAAAGGGCAAGCTGGAAATTATTCAAGTTTTTTATCTGAGCCCTACACATGTACAGTGTATAATCTCAAATGCTTTCCTCCTACATTGAGCATTTGCTTCATACCGGAAATACTTTATGATCAGCTTGAGTGGAAACAACATTATACAAGAACTGTGTTTTCTCGCACATTTAATCATTTGATTGAAGTTTAATGACGTATCAACAATAGACACAACAACCATTAATGACAAGCTGGATACTTTGCATCATGTAGCCAAGAGTTGTGCCGAAGAAATAGGAAAAAAAGCATAAATTACCAAAATTCTAATTTTCAATAGTTTCTCAAAATTATTGCTTACAGTGCTGTGAAATCTCAAGTACGGTGAATCTACGTGTATATGTACTAAGAATCTCCTGCTGTCAGAGACACCAGCTAAATTCTGTCGGTTAAAATTCTATTTTAACATCAGCCATGGCCCTTTTATTTGTCCACCAAGAGAGTTCAAGCTTTCTGTTTTTAGTTTGGCACGTGTTCCACTTTCAACAATTGCCAAAATCAGTCCTGACGTTTCGCATGTACACGATGTCCGATTGTAGATAGCAAGTTTCAGCAGATGGGTTTAGCTTTGCAGGACAAATTATTATTTATTTCTCAACCCAAAACGTTTATTTATTTCTCAACAGAAACTAATATAAGACTTAACGAGACTGAGTTTCATCATCAACGGCTGCTGATCGAGTCTTCAGAATCAAATATGAAATATTGTAATCGGGTGTGTTGCAGGAAGGAGGTTAGGTTTCAAGGTTCAGTTCTTTTTGAAACAATTAACCGACTTCCTCTTGCAACGTAACTAGACTAGACTTGGAAGTCACAGAATGCTAGAGAAAAGATTGTGTAAGTTTTTTTCAAAACCACAGTTTGTCAAAACCGAACAATAGTGGCAATAGTAACGAAAATACAAAATAAATCAATTATGGCAGTGTCGAGCGAAGTTCATTCAAGTCATCTGATATCATATCACTCGAATCTCGCTCTAAGCTATCTAGATTAATTTTACTAATGTGCCTTTTCATTGACAAAACTAATTGTAAGCTTCAATGAATGGACAAAACGAACGTACACTTCGACTAACGTAAATACAAAGCTATAAAATGCTAGCTAGCTTTCTGACGAAAAATACACCGGTATCATGATAGAAATTATTTTCATTAGCTAGGAAACATACCTTTACATTGCATCAAAATATATGCCTTCATCCGTCGTACTTATTTCTATATTCTGTGCTGCCATCCCGACCCAAATGCGGCGCTTTTCATATCATAAAAACGATAAAAGTCAGTGGATTTAGACCACGAGGAGCTACAACCCACGGAATAACAAATCGAGCGGAAGCGTGGTTACCAATTCTGGTCGAAAGTGGTGTTCCTCTAGGGTATGAAAGGAATTTTATTGTCACTAACAAGGGTGGAGCAGTGCCAAAATCGTATCACATGACAAGCTTATGATTTTGTCTGACATGTTGTCTGAATGCCGGAGACATTTTGCGTATTTTGTGTGGCACCTGTGTCAAATCTGAGACGTATTTGCATTGCAAATCACCACCGGTTTCAGCTGGTGACACGTTAAAAGATTTTATGCGAATTGCTTTGCTCGTTACACATTTTTTATCCACGAAAAAGTTGAATTCCAAAATGATCAGTCTCGAATTCTCGAACCACATCAAGACCTTCGACTTCAAGAGTCAAAGAAGCGAATTAGAACGAGAAGCGATCGAAAAAGTAATTGCTGGGCAGTCGTTGTTTCCGTTGTTCGAAAACCACCATTTGACCTTCGAGGAACAAAGGCAACTCATGAAGACAAAACTTGGATATCCTCACAGAGGGGAAGAGAGCAGCCTTTTCTTATTGGCTGTGGTATGCGGTCACGTGGACTTGGCCAAAAGTCTCATTGAAGGGAAGCTTGTTGACATTGAAGAGCAAGGAACAGTTTTAGTGGGTTGCTGCACAGATGACAATGTCAAAACCTGTAGTTTTGGCTATGAGATTGGTGAGGATGTAACACCTTTGTGGTGTGCGGCAGCATGGTGTAAATTTGACCTCGTCAAGCTTCTTGTTAGCAATGGTGCAAATATCAATCATAAATCAAGGGTCGGCTCCAACCCTCTCTTCATGGCATGTCAGTATTTTCATTCAAACAGAGCACGTCAGGTACTTCTAGGAAAACCGGACGTACCCATCCAGCTTGAACTTGTGAAGTTCCTTGTCGAAAATGGAGCTGATGTTGGAGAAGTGGGCAGAAATGGCAATACCCCTTTGACTGTGGCAGCCTTGTCTGGATATAAGGACCCATCACTGGTGGTGTACCTGCTGGAACAAGGTGCAGACCCAAATGCTAATAATTCCCATGGTTCCAGTGCACTGCACTTTGCTGCAGAGAAGGGTTGTTTGGAAACAGTGAAGGAGCTGGTTAAGCATGGAGCTCAGCTGGATGTAGTTGATGCAGAAGGACTGACTCCCCTGCAGCGAGCTTGCTGTGGATGTCATGATGAAGTGGTTGAGTGGATCATTTCACAGCCTGATCGCAGTAGAGAGCAGAAGATTGATGCCCTGGAACTTCTTGGTGCCTCCCATGCAACGCTTATTGACATAGAAGACATTGAGTATCCTAGTGAAGGGCAAAGTGAGGGAGAGGGTGATGATGATGATAGCACATCCATCCAACATGGATATCAGCTGATGCTAAGAGCAACAAAGGAGCGTTTCAGACCTCCTATTATCACAAAGCAAAACGTGAAGCCCCCTTTGGTTCTTTATAGCAATCAAGCAGAAAGCCAGAGCCTTAAAGAACTTGAGGCATTGAGTATGAACAATGAAGCCATTCGCATGGAGGGTTTCATCATCAGAGACAGGCTACTTGGTGCTCTTCATACACCAGAACTTCTCCAGCCACTTTTACACAAAGCTGTGGTTTTAGCCCACAAAGGTGACCTCAAGATGGCTGCTTCTTTCTACAGCCATGCCTTATCATACAAATTGGTATCTTCTCTTGAAAGCAAAGAAATCTTGAGAAGATTCCTTGTGCACTTGGCATGCATGATTGAAACCAAAGTACATTTGAAGATTGCCGATCTTGAGCCAGCTTATCAGTTTATATCAGCTTGGCTTGGGCTTTTGGCAAAGAAAGAGGAACACCAGAGTGTTTCTTCTTTTGAGTTCCAAGAGCACAAATGGGCTTTTGACCATGATCTTCTTCTGGCCTTCTATTTCATCTGTATCTTGTGCAATGTTGATACTCCAAGTCATGAAGAAGGCAAAAGGAAGTTAGACATGGTCAAAGCAATAGTGGATCTGAACTTACAGAATTCACAAGGTTCTGACCTGCTTCATTTGGCAGTCTGGGATTCAATTATCGAAGTTCACAACAAAGTCTCCATGAATGAAATATTCAGAGTACCCAACAGAAAAGTAATAGAAATTCTACTGCAATGTGGCACAGATATCAATTCTCAAGACCGGGCAGGAAATAGCCCCCTTCACATTCTTGCAACAGTCGACTCGAAACTGGCTATTGTTCCCAAAGATTTCAAAGAAAATGGGGGAAAGGAGTATGTGGACTTCTTTCTTAGAAATCATGCAAAATTAGATTTGAAAAATTCAGTAGGAGAAAGGCCAGTAGATGTGGCAGTATCTGAAATTACAAAAGGACTTCTTCAAAACTTGTGAACTGGAGGTGCAGTAGTGAATGTACTGTCAATTTCTGAACAAGATTTTCAATTGGTTGGGTCTAGATAAAGTCTGTGTTCAAGCCTACTGGCCCAACAGTTGTCCAAAAATTTAAAATTAACCCCTCAATTGAGGAGACCAATCTGGATGTGGTTCAAGCTTAATTTGAGCCTAAAAGATGCCACTTTAAAACATGCCAAACTATTTGAATGACGTTGCATATTAATTAATTAATTAATTAATTACACTGTATGCATCATTTTGTACATGGTGTCATGACGACTCTGAAATACCATTCTATTTAATTGCTTACATGTATTTTGACACAAATGCTTTTTTTGATATTTCCTCGAGTGCAACCCTATATGATATTTATACGTTGACAGCTAAAAATAGTGGTGTTTCGTCCTGAATGCCTTAGGTGAGACTGGAAATCTGTGATTTACACCCCTAAGCAAGGCGACAAACATCCCTGACCTTTCACATGGGAGTCCCCCCGCACCCCACCTGGGCTTGTGGTTTCTTTCAATGATTTTAAGTGATTAGTGGCCTAGTAGCTCACCACAAGTCTTTCTGGATCATAGCTCAGTGGACATAGCATGTGACTGGTATGCAGAATACTCCTGTCAGGGACTCAATTTTTACCTTTTTCATTTGTGAATTATCACTTACCAAAATTTCAGAGAAATATTATACACGTACATATATCACTAATAGAATTGATAGGTAAATAAATAAATTAAGTAAGTAATTAATAAATAATTCAATAAAATTTGTATTAGTGTTCTTACAAATCCGGACATAAGTATGAGGGTGCTACAGACCCTGTTTTCTGATTTTTTTTACATATCTATATTGTAACCATCTTTGCAGGAAGTTCACACTCAATGTTATATTAGTGTTCTTTCAAATCCAGCTCTTTACTTGTATGTAAAGGCTCATTTCAAAGCTCTTAATGTCTAGCATATTGGCAATATTGATATTAGCGGTAACATCTTGAAACCAGTAGTGACTGTCCTTATCTTTATTTGTCAAGAGGTCATGCTTGTATGTATGAGTATTATGGGCAGATTTAGGGAAGGCTGAGGGCACTGTAAGCCCCATTCACCCCCTGCCCGTTCTTGGTTTCTTAAGTTTTTTTTTAAACAGTGTAACCGTGTTTTGAATGGGATTGTAGGATGTTCATTTGTTGTGGGTGCAGGGTAAGGTCACCCTCTTGCCAGTTTCCACCTGAGATCTTGGCTCATTATTTTTAGATTGCAAGCCTATCTGTATATTCTTGGGTTCTAAGTTATATACTTCTAAAAGTTTTTTTATACTGGGAGGCCCGGGCATTAAGTAGTACCGTTTGGTATATACCACACAAGTGAATAGTGCTTTTCGCGCGCTCAGATTGGTTAAGCCCGAGGTGATTAACAAGTACCATTCACCTCTACTTCGGTGAATAGTTGTTAAATATTTGTATTTTCGCATCGTTTTATTCCGTATTTAGCTTTTCATCTTTGCCATACGTTATTCTATTAAAGACCGTTTTCATTTGATATTTGTCGTAAATCTTATGAAGCATTCTGCGGATTTGAACGCTATAAAGATGCATTACATTATTACCATCATCAGATGAGACGTTTGCATGCAACAAAAACTGACAAAAAAAGGTTTTTTCCTACAAAAAATGTATTGAAAACTTAATTGCACTTGTCATCAATGAGCAACAAAACAGTATCCTGGTGACTTTTACTGACTCCAAGTTTGTTTGCTTTCCTTGTGTGTTGTTTTCTCAAATACTTGCACTGAAGGACTCTTGCAAACATTGCAACGAAAAAGCTCGTAAACGGTACCGCCCATGTGCTTTAAGGCAGCGTCATTAGGCTGGAGAAATTGGAAAACGCAGCTTTATTCTTACGATTAGGCCTACCGTGCACACTAATCCACACTAAGCTTTACGAAAACGCTCTTCGAACCGGAGGAATTTAAAACGCCGTAAATACGATTAAGACTTAACATAGAAATTATTATATAAATCTACATGTACAAGTTACAAAGGTAATGCTCCAAGCGCGCGCCTCCGTTCGCAAGAGGCGCGCGCAAGAACAAGATACAATTGTTACGTAGGTTTACGTTTTGAATCCTGAGCAAAGTTGAAAACGTTCTGAGAGCGACTTGCTAGCTGCAATTTTATTGATCAGAAGAAAGCGTTTTCTACGAATACAAACACGAACAAAATGAATCCCGGTGCTGTTAAAGATCACCTGAAATCAGAATCTTATTCACTGAACAAACAGGAAAACACTGCGGACAAACTGAAGAGACAGTTAGGTGAACTCGAGAGACGCGTCCACAAGTACTTCGATGATCTGGACAATGTTGAAGAAATGTGTAAGGACGCACAGGCTAAGGTGAAAAGGCTTCAGCTGAGAGCCCAGGTTAAGAGAGAGATCGTGAAGAAAGATGCAGAAATACAAGCCAAGCTGTTTTTACAGATGAAAGAGATGCAAGAAAAGCTGAAAAGAATAGAAGTCAAAGACGATCACGAGACTCCGCCAGAGGAAAAAACGCCTGACGCGTCGACAATAAACGCTCTGCGGTATACAACAACTGCTCGAGTCTGCCGCTTTATCAAGATTGGTTGCACTCTGGTGTTGGACGCCGTAGGAGCATATGCGTTGTTTAAGATGACGCAGCCCTACCTTTTCTAATCACAGATAGCACGCCTGTATACCGTAAAATTACGATAATAAGTCATACTTTCAGTTCGCTACCTTCTGGTGTAGCACTTGAAAATTGTACTTGTAAGACCTTCTTCAAAGAAGCACTGAGAACTGTTTAATAATTTTAATTCGCTACCTTCTGGTGTAGTCCTCGAAGAATTAGACATGTAAAACTTTATTCAAAGAAGCACTGACAACTTTTTTAAATTAATAATTTCATTCTCTACCTTCTGGCACTCACTACTCGACCAACTATTCTTGTAAAGCCTGTAGACGTAAGTGAAACAGTGGGAAGAAAATACAAAAAATATGTTTGTAAAAGAAAAATGTGGGAAAAGAGAGCAAGAACAGATCTAAATAAAGAATTTACAATTAACAGTAAACCTCGTATTTCATTCCACAGGGAAAATCTTGTTTTATGCATGCGCAAGTATCTCGCTTTAATTCTAGCACTGCTATTTTTTCCATTTCTCAGTTTACAATTAGATCGATGAGCTGGCGAGATCTTAACCGAATTCAACCAGGAATATCATACAATGTGTCAGAGATGTAAAAAATACATCTAGGTTAAACGGAAAATGATGAGACGTTTAACATACGTCTTCCAAGAGACATACAACTAGAAGCAAATGACGGGTAATTTCTCCTCCAACTTGAAGTTATTTTCTGCATGCAATCGGCCCAGGTTTTATGATGAATGAATGCCTCATTCAAGTAATTCGCGCCTTTGTTCTTCCAGAATTCGGTTCAGCGCTACCAAATCCTTCGCCATGGCAACGTAATCGCTTTTCAGTCCTTGTAGCTCATACTTCATATCGGCTGACAAATTATGCGAAATACATTTAACAGCCTTATTTCTACGATATTAGGCCTACCGTGCACAATAATCCGTCACGAAAACGAAGCTTTACGAAAACGCTCGTCAAACCAAAGGAATTTCAAACGCCGACTTTTCGTTTTCGTGGGGACGGAAAATAGTTTGAAAACGGAGTTGTTTTGAAAACGATGACCTCACGATAATTATGTGATTTCCCTGCCGACTTTTTTCCAACACAAATTGTTGGGTTTTTAAATTCCTCCAGCGTAGTGTGGACGGAAAACGTTTGATGTGTTTTCAGAGTAAAAACGCCGTTTTTAAGTTTCTTCGGCGTGGTGTGGACGGGGCGTAGTATCAAATTCTAGTGCCTTACCAGCGCTTTCTGCATGGGGAACCTAAAAGAAAATGATCAAAGTAAAATGAAATATATACCGTTAACACAAATTTGTGATCACTTTCCAACATTTATTTTGAAACATTTCTTATGACTATAAATACGATTAAGACTGAAAGTAGAAATTATAATATAAATCTACGAGTTACAAAGGTAATGCTCCAAGCGCGCGCCTCCGTTCGCAAGAGGCGCGCGCTTTGTTAATAAGAACAAGATTTAATTGTTACGTAGGTTTACCTTTTGAAACCTAAGCAAAGTTGGAAACGTTCTGAGAGCGACTTACATTGCTAGCTACAATTTTATCGATCAGAAGAAAGCGTTTTCTACGAATACATACACGGACAAAATGAATCCCAGTGCTGTTAAAGATCACCTGAAATCAGAATCTTATTCACTGAACAAACAGGAAAACACTGCGGACAAACTGAAGAGACATTTAGGTGAACTCGAGAGACGCGTCCACAAGTACTTCGATGATCTGGACAATGTTGAAGAAATGTGCAAGGAAGCACAGGCGAAGATGAAAAGGCTCCAGCTGAGAGCCCAGGCTAAGAGAGAGATCGTGAGGAAAGATGCAGAAATACAAGCCAAGCTCTTTTCACAGATGAAAAAGATGCAAGAAAAGCTGAAAAGAATAGAAGTCAAGGACGATCACGAGACTCCGCCAGAGGAAAAAACGCCTGACGCGTCGACAATAAACGCTCTGCGGTATACAACAACTGCTCGAGTCTGCCGCTTTATCAAGATTGGTTGCACTCTGGTGTTGGACGCCGTAGGAGCATATGCGTTGTTTAAGATGACGCAGCCCTACCTTTTCTAATCACAGATAGCACGCCTGTATACCGTAAAATTACGATAATAAGTCATACTTTCAGTTCGCTACCTTCTGGTGTAGCACTTGAAAATTGTACTTGTAAGACCTTCTTCAAAGAAGCACTGAGAACTGTTTAATAATTTTAATTCGCTACCTTCTGGTGTAGTCCTCGAAGAATTAGACATGTAAAACTTTATTCAAAGAAGCACTGACAACTTTTTTAAATTAATAATTTCATTCTCTACCTTCTGGCACTCACTACTCGACCAACTATTCTTGTAAAGCCTGTAGACGTAAGTGAAACAGTGGGAAGAAAATACAAAAAATATGTTTGTAAAAGAAAAATGTGGGAAAAGAGAGCAAGAACAGATCTAAATAAAGAATTTACAATTAACAGTAAACCTCGTATTTCATTCCACAGGGAAAATCTTGTTTTATGCATGCGCAAGTATCTCGCTTTAATTCTAGCACTGCTATTTTTTCCATTTCTCAGTTTACAATTAGATCGATGAGCTGGCGAGATCTTAACCGAATTCAACCAGGAATATCATACAATGTGTCAGAGATGTAAAAAATACATCTAGGTTAAACGGAAAATGATGAGACGTTTAACATACGTCTTCCAAGAGACATACAACTAGAAGCAAATGACGGGTAATTTCTCCTCCAACTTGAAGTTATTTTCTGCATGCAATCGGCCCAGGTTTTATGATGAATGAATGCCTCATTCAAGTAATTCGCGCCTTTGTTCTTCCAGAATTCGGTTCAGCGCTACCAAATCCTTCGCCATGGCAACGTAATCGCTTTTCAGTCCTTGTAGCTCATACTTCATATCGGCTGACAAATTATGCGAAATACATTTAACAGCCTTATTTCTACGATATTAGGCCTACCGTGCACAATAATCCGTCACGAAAACGAAGCTTTACGAAAACGCTCGTCAAACCAAAGGAATTTCAAACGCCGACTTTTCGTTTTCGTGGGGACGGAAAATAGTTTGAAAACGGAGTTGTTTTGAAAACGATGACCTCACGATAATTATGTGATTTCCCTGCCGACTTTTTTCCAACACAAATTGTTGGGTTTTTAAATTCCTCCAGCGTAGTGTGGACGGAAAACGTTTGATGTGTTTTCAGAGTAAAAACGCCGTTTTTAAGTTTCTTCGGCGTGGTGTGGACGGGGCGTAGTATCAAATTCTAGTGCCTTACCAGCGCTTTCTGCATGGGGAACCTAAAAGAAAATGATCAAAGTAAAATGAAATATATACCGTTAACACAAATTTGTGATCACTTTCCAACATTTATTTTGAAACATTTCTTATGACTATAAATACGATTAAGACTGAAAGTAGAAATTATAATATAAATCTACGAGTTACAAAGGTAATGCTCCAAGCGCGCGCCTCCGTTCGCAAGAGGCGCGCGCTTTGTTAATAAGAACAAGATTTAATTGTTACGTAGGTTTACCTTTTGAAACCTAAGCAAAGTTGGAAACGTTCTGAGAGCGACTTACATTGCTAGCTACAATTTTATCGATCAGAAGAAAGCGTTTTCTACGAATACATACACGGACAAAATGAATCCCAGTGCTGTTAAAGATCACCTGAAATCAGAATCTTATTCACTGAACAAACAGGAAAACACTGCGGACAAACTGAAGAGACATTTAGGTGAACTCGAGAGACGCGTCCACAAGTACTTCGATGATCTGGACAATGTTGAAGAAATGTGCAAGGAAGCACAGGCGAAGATGAAAAGGCTCCAGCTGAGAGCCCAGGCTAAGAGAGAGATCGTGAGGAAAGATGCAGA